GCTTGAAGCATTACCCTTTTTAATCTTTTTCTTTTTAAGCCGCTTCCCTATCGTAGCCTTTTAATTACGTTAACATGCTTTTCCCCCTCAGTTTAAAACCCTTTATCTTAACCTTGAAGGCGCTCTATGAGTTTTTTATATAACGCTTATATATCTATTTACACTCCTTTTCCGCTAAGAACACAATCTTTGAATTTGCCTTATTAACGCGTATTCAAGTTCAATATAAGTCTTTAAAAACCACTTATAGCGCTTTCGTTACTTTTTTCTTTAATAAAACCACTTTTAACTATTACTTTAAAGCTTATAACCTTTAAATATATATCTTTTAAATGTGGTATATGTATTTCTATTTCGCCGTGCTTTTCAACTTATTACATAATCTTTTTAAGACACTTAAAAATATTATTAAAACAAGATTTAAAAGCTTGAATACTTTTAATCGCGCTAGCTATTCGATCTTTCAACTTGTTAAACTAAAAGCAATAAAGTTATACTTTTAAATAATATATATGTAAGTTAATAGATTTAAAATGCCTTAAATCTTGAAACCCCGATATATACGGACTTGAATATATATATATTGTACTAGCTTATATATTAAATTAAAATAATAATTCTTTTCATCCGCGCTTTATTTCCAAAAAAATATAAAGCTAGTAAACCTACGTTTTAATAGTTTTATAAATAAATAAAACGCGCTTTTAAAACAGCTGAATAATCTTCTGATTAGAAAGTTCCGTCTTTAAATATTACAAATTAAGCTTTATAATAATTAATAAAAAACGTTTTATTTACGGTACTTATAATAAAAAACTCTACTTATAATCAGCATATTATATGAGCTAAATGTTTTACCACAAATACTAGATATTTATACTACTAATAGTAAAATATTAACATCCGTTTTAAATATTATAAAGAGTAACCCAAGCTTTGAACTACGCTCCGCTCTTTTGCGCGAAGTGCAGAGACTGGAGACCGAAGAATCAGAGGAATCCCTCTCCTCTGATTCAACAGGTTTAGACGATCTAGACAAAGGGGTGGTTGTTGACAAAGAGGGCGAGGGAGTGTCTGACGAGCCAGATAATGAAGAGGAAGAGCCCATTGTGATGCAATCTCGGCGCCGAGAAATCCGCCAACCTGCGCGCTACCGCTAAAAGCACTGGTATTGCTAAAAATACCAAGAAAAGGCGATTCTTTTGATATATATATATTATCTATAGCCTCAATACCAATGGGGTTATATGTGGGTGCAAATGTTGTGTTTTGGTGGGGGAACTGTCCCATGTGGGTGGCTGTCCCATCTGCATGCCCCCGCCGTTACGTGTTCCTAACCTAGCAGATTGATTTTCTTTCAAGTTTTAACGTTTATTTGTTCGGATTACAAGAACAATAAACTGGTTATAGGAGCAATACCTTGATATCGGAAAAAGATGGCACTCACTCTTTGTGCCGTGGAACGGAAGCGGTGGAAATCGGCCAATACAACAAAGAAGCAAACTATCGTACGCATTGTACTTCACATGGCATCGCGAAATGAGAAGCTAGACTGATCTAGGAGGATACGAGTGTATAACTACTTCAACACGACCCAAGACTGTCGACTGTCTCAGCAGCCGAGTCCGAAAGCATGCAGCGGCGACTTCGCCCCAGGAAGCCTGAAACCCCCGAGCAGGCCGCGATACGGCAGAAGAACCACATATACGAATATTTCGGAACGTATAGAGACAAGCGGTTCTACCTGGAAGGATTTCAAGCGAAAGGTGGCCAGGGGTCGATATTCAAGGTCAAATACGAGAGGCCCGGACAGGCTGGCACGGTGAGGCGGGCAGTGGTGGTCAATCTGGCAGATCCGAAGACCGGAGCAGATGTAGCGGGACTGAGAACGGAGAGAAGAACTTTGCAGGTATAGAAATTTCATTGTTGGTCCAATTGAAAGACCGGCCTTATGTCATCGAAGGTCGATTTATTTTTTTGTCATCGAAGGTCAGGATGAAAGACGCTAACAACATATATGGCGATAGCTTCTACGAGGCCGTAAACATATTATATACATGTGGGCCGTGAGTAACGATCCGTGGCGGCCTGCAGCGGATGAGATGGGCTGGACATGGATATATCTTGATCTGGTCGAGAACGGGACCTTGACAACTTTCATGGAGCAGGCGAAAAAGGCCGGGCTGACGCGCCTGCCAAATCGGCTACTTTGGAGGCTATTCTTATGCAGTGGGTTGAGTTTGATCCTTTTCTCCCGTTGGGCGGACATGGAAGGGTTGACCATCTTTGTATGCAGTGGTGCGAGCTTGTATTGCGCATCTTCGGGACTTTCACAACAGTTACGAGCGATGTGAAAGGCACGGGGAGACAAGGAAAGTGTTGTACGATTGAAAAGAATCGAGAGAATCGACCTATGGAAAACCAAGGCCAACTCAAGTCTTTACTAGAAACTGGACTTGGAAATGCCTGAGTTGATTTGCCCAAACCAAAGCCGAGAGATGTCAAGACCCTAGCCCGTACCATGTGCTCCAATACCCTGCACCCATATCGCATTTGCCCCGTGATGGTTGACAGAGAGGACCAGGCCAAGAACTGCTGTTGCGCGATAGGCTTGTCTTCGGGGGTACGAGGAGAAGAGACGACAGTGCCTGCAATACGTTAGCTGGAGCCTCGGAATATTCCTCAGCTCAGGCTTACTAGTACTGTGCCCAAAGCATTGCTAGGAAGTCCTGTGATCATTGGCGGCACATACAACGGGTGGTAGGATGGTCGCAAATGGGTTCTGATCGCAAAAGGTAGGGGGACGTCTCATGGGTCTGAATTGCAGTATTAGTTATGGGCCCATCAAGACTAAACAATGTGCTTACAACTTCCAGGTATCTCGGGTTCAGATCGTGGGACACGAGAACCTGAACGAGCCAAGAATGACCGGTGCTCATGCTGTCCACGTGTGACAAGATGTGCGACTGAGGAAAAGCCAACCTCGAAGGACCTCGACAGGTCGAGGTGCCGAGAAAGGAAATGTTGATCAGATCTGGAGATTGATGGTGTCGAGTCTGTCGCAGCGCAAAACCTCTAGGAATGCTGCTGTCGCTCGGACCGCCGCCTACATCATGACGCACGTGGTGGAGCCGCCGCCGTTGCTGCCTCCCCAGCCGGTCTTGGGGACACCGGTGCCAGTGGTGGTGGTGGTAGTAGGGGCCGAGGCGGGCATGGTGGCGATATTGATGAGGTTGCTGGTGATGGTTGAGATTGCGAGTGGTAGGGGGATGTCGGGTGTCGGGAGGGTAATGGCGATGAGTAATCAAAGATGGGTGTGAAAATGGATTGATGATGGTATTGAGATGGTGGACTTGATCGTCAAGGTCGAGTTTGTTGATTGATCGAAAGTTGGTGGGAGAGGGAGAGTTCAGGAGTGCTGGGAAGGGAGCTGGGCTCGGCCTTAAATATTGAATTCCTGCCATGGATGCCTGAGGCCGTTGATACAACAGCGGACAATGGGCCTCTGGTGAATTCCCAATGGAGCGGTGTACGGTGGTCCTCTGCGAATCAGGTTTCAGTACCACTTACTTCATCCCGACTTCACTGTTTGGGTACGTACCTGAGGCTGCGCAATGACAGTCACTGGACAACGTTGAGGTACCACGATATCAAAATCGACACGTCGTGAGTCACGAGTATGGGAGTTCCTGCATCTGGTACCACAGCCAGCTCTAGTCGCCAAAAGGATACCTACTGCAGAGCGCAGGGGGGAAGGATATTTGCATACCGTCATCACGAAGAGCATTCGCATGGGACTGGCAGGTGCCTCACAATTGAATGTCGGGTACTTGGCTCGTAGCCGATCATGTCAAGAGGCTCCCAATGCACTTGATGACCTACGTCTACATGGACGTATCACGCATGCCACTGTTTGAGCTTACCCTGGCCATGAACTTGTTTACGGACACCGCAGCAAATGTAGTTTCATGATAGTGATACAGGCGCAACCTGAAAATAGTCGCAGCCATCATGTGCCACACAGGGGAAGCCATGACACATGTGCGTGCTTGAAATCTAGAGGGGCGCATCGCTTGTCATCACAGCAGTGACAACTTGGGGATGGTGAGATGAATCGTTGCAGGTAAAACAAATGTCTTCACGGACCGTATGGCGCTCGGTAAGGGAAGGGCAGCCTCATCCTGTGGCGGGCCGCGAGAAAGGCTCCACCAGGCTCTCATTCACCAGGACAGCATCCGCAGACGAGATGGGACTCAAATGAATCCGAAGGTCAACAAAGGCCTCATATCAAGATTACTACCTACTTTCCCTAATACTGCAGATACGTAATACATGAGCTCCAGTGTTCAGCTTTCAAGGTTGATCGAGCAAAGCATCCCGCAAGTTACTGGGAAGCGCGCGAGGGTCTGGATATAACCGTGTTCTGACAGACAAGACCAACATCGGCAAAACCTTAGAACCGCGGAATCATGACCCGACCCCGGAGACGAAAACGCCTCCCCTTATGCCATTTGCCGGTCGGTACAGAGGAACGTGTACCGCGGCATGCAGTCACCCCTATTTCTATCTTTATCGGGTGTGCACGAGAGATGCAGCTTGCCGAGTCATACACCTACGTATTGGTACCAGAAACACAACTGCCGCGGCCGCTGCCTCAATCATGATCGTCTTCTGTCTCCTCCTCTGTTGTCAGTTCTCCAATTTCATGCCCTGTTCCGATGCCACCTTGTCTCTTCGTTTCCCCTATCCCCTATCTCCTTTTTTTCAACCAACCCCTTTGTGCTTGATCGTAGGAGATCCCTGATTTGGAGTCTTGATTACGGTGAAGGGTGTCCTAGAGCCGAGGAATGAAGATGATATGCCATTGAGTTTGTTATCGACAGCCGAAAACAGGCTCTTGCATCGCGACTCGCGGATACGCCTATGTAGAAGTGTACTGTCAAAAACCCATCAGCTCAGAAATCTCAGTCAATGGTTTCCAGCCGATACGTACCTGACGATTAACGGCCGCCGGCCGGCGAGAAGTACGCCTCCGTTCCCTTCTTGCACGGCCAGCAACACACGCCGCAGAACCCAGCCAGGGAATCATCAAACAGGCCGCAGTCAGACATATAGTCGCGTCGCACCTGCTCATGCCCACGCTCCGCATCGTGAACCCGCATAGCCGGATGGACCTCTTCTCGAGATATGACGATCCCCGCACGCCCGAGATTGTGAAAGGCATACTCCCGTCGTCGCCGGGCGCGTTCCCCGTCGCGTTCGTGTTTTCGGATCCAGTAGGCGAAGCCGAGACGTGTCCAGGTGACTAGGATTCCGATGAAGCAGAGGACCACGGTGATGGCGATTAGGGCGATAATGAGGGGTGCGAGATGGCCGTTTTTGTCGATGGCGGGATCGCGTCCGAGCAGCGTGGGAATGGTGTCCGTAGTTTCATAGGGGTTGCTGGGGAGGGTACTGCCGTTTGGAGTGATGGCGTCGGAGGGGCCGATGATGTTGCTGAGACGCAAGGGAATAGCTCCCGCGAGCGCCGCCAGGAGGATGACGAGGGTCAGTCTGATGACGAGCATGTTGAGTGGACGGAGTGAAGTAGATCGTGACGAGGGACGACTGGTTGACGTGGGACGGCTGGTTGACAGGGGACGATTGATTGACGAGGCAGATTGCAACCGCGTTCGTGCAGAGGAGACTACCGGTCGTTTGCTGCTCCAAAGTTCGGTGTAGTATTTCAGTCGTGTGTGGACGAGAACCCTGCGACTATTGAGGTGAGAAGGAAATGTGGATGAGAATCTTGCTGAGTGGGCGCACTGATGGAAGCCTGCGAGGGAGAGTGCTGAGGCACGGAGTTCGAGGGTAACCAAGGGCAGAACGAGTCGAGTGCTGTAGCTAGGCGGAACAGTCAATGGTCAATGCAGCATCGCCTGGGTGGGATGTTGAAGTTGGAGGGGTGATTCTGGTGGACGGTTTCTAGGTCACCAGGGAACATGACAAACATGGAAACATTAAGGGTTGCCAGTCTCTCAAGCTGTCCTCCCCGTATCACAACAGCACACGGTGGGTAATGTAGAGAAGGTGCAGGGGACACAAATAGCCCGTATACAGCACCCAGACTTCACAAGCACTGCTGGGCGGCTCCCTTGGTACAATGACAGGGTCAAGGGGCAGAGTAACTTGTGTACTAAGTGTAAGATATCTAGTTAAATTCAAAGGATGATGAATCAGTATGCCGATGCTCAGTTTTACTAAGAAGTATATATCTTGTCGCACAATCGACATGCTCTGCTGGTGGGAGTTCCTTCTCCCTAGCCCTAACCCTAAGCCATTGTGTTTCCCTGGGTCATAAGTCTATCAAATTCAACCTATCGACCCACCTCAGAGACTAGTGCCCATCAACGCCTGGTTGCCCGTTGCTTTTCACTGGAAGAAAAGGTCTGTGTCCTACTTCACCACCCACTGTCTTTTTCCCCCCAACACACCTTGTTCCTTTCCTCGCTTTCTACCCAACTCTCTCCTCCGTGCAACTTTTGCGACTTTCGCACAGCTTCTGCCTTTCCTTCTTTTTCCGCACCTGCGTTGGATGCAAGGGTCGGGGAGTTCACGAACACCTCCTCCCACGCAAACTCATCCAGTCGTGTGCAGCTTTTAGCTTCTTGGCCGTTCACTTCCTCGTCTCTGGAAATCATTTGGTCGACCTCATTTCCACATCTCGAGCTCGCTCTTTTGCGACTTTCAAACAGCCGCGGTTGCAAATCTGTACGACTCACCAACTTTCTCTCCACATCGCCTAGTCTAACCAAGCCATTCAAGGTAAGCAATTGGCCCTTTCCAGACGAAATAGGCAAGAGATGTGATATTTCACCCTTGCCCATTGCATGCAACACTAGTTGAGCCGTATAAAAGTAGAGATAGGTTCTATTCCTGTCAGCGCTAGCTGGTGCTTTCGCTTTTGGCTCATCTATACTAAGAGTTCCTTGTCGCGATCTGAGACAAGCAAGTGAAAATCTTTTCTCGCATAGCTACCTGATCGCAGGACTCATTCCCGGAGCATTCGCGTGGGATCACCACCATGTCGCCGCTCATTTCACTGCAAACACTAATCTTCTCTACTAGCACCACTCCGCCACCAGACACCAGCTCGGTTGGTCGAGAACTATCAGCACATACGCCCTTCGGAAAACTATCACCAAGGAGCTAAACCTCGTGGCTTCCGATGTGGCAGATGCACACAGAATCCCTACCGGCTTGTCTCTTCGACCAAGGGATAAAACTGCATAAGGAAGGATCCTAGCACAAAAGGCAAAACTAGCTCAGCTCACAAAAGCCTCTGCAGTAGAACTACCCGTCAAGTAGCACACTTATGCCCTCCCGAACTGTCCAACTAGACTTACCAACATGGAACTTGAAGACGTGGAGATCACATCAGAAATGACCCTAGATGAATGCGAATTCCAGACCGGCCGCCGCCCGGTTAATGCACGTATATCAAAAAACAGTCTCAACAACTCCGGCCAAGTCACATGGCTCGTTTCGTTTACCAAGAAAGTTGTGACGGCTGTGGCGGCCTGCACAGACCTTCCCACATGACAAGTGGATACCTCCTAATAGGGGAAGGATCTGACCAGAGGATCCCCTTAAAGGGGCAACCTCCCACTGTACCTATCTCTCTCTCTCTCTTCCTTTCCTCTCTAGTCTTGATATTCTCGTCAATAGAGTAATAGCTACTTGCTGCCGGCCATGTCCCAGCTCCTTAGTACGCTTGCCATGACATAATATCAAGACTCCTCCATACCAGATCAGAAACCTTGTCTTCAGATCACCACTGCAAGGAGTTTTGCCTCTAGCAGTGACAGGTACAGTGTCTCCGAACACCCACCTACCCCAAGACTTTATTATACACCTATTATTATCACTGATTCTGTCCAACACACCGTGACGATAAGTACCATTATCATTCCAAAATATCAGGATAGTTCTGAAGGGACTGAAAGACCAGCCCAACTTACCCAAACATCCCACAACACCAATAACCTTCCGCCAAAGAAAGAACCAAAGAAACAGAAAACCAAGGCACAAGGGGGCCAGAGCAAGCCAAACACGCGATCAAAGGCCGCTTTGACCCATAATAAATCTCCCTCAAACTCTTCATCGGCTCCATCTTCCTCCAGGACCACATTCCAGGACCCACAGACCCAGCCCATGGCACCAATCATGAGCGGTGATCTGGGCCGATCAGACGACCCCTTGCTCTTTAACCTGGATATGCTTACGGCAGAGCAGCTAGCCAGACTGCAAACCGAACTACACATCCGGATCCCGAGGTCTGAGCCACCAAGGCCCACAACAGAGCGACAGTCTGTGCATTTCAGCACACCACGAGAAGAACAAGCCTTTCCTTCCTTGGAAACAGGTTCTCCACACACAACGACCCCTAGGTGGGACTCCTCAGCTTCTATGGCATCAATCTCAAATGCCATACGACATTCCATCAAGCTGGCAGACCCTGCAAAGCTAAGTGACGGTCAAAACCCAACCTTTGAACAGTGAAAGAACAGTACTTAACGCAAGCTATGGACCAATTGATGGCTCTTCCTTACAGAAGAATCAAAGTTTGATTGGCTTTGTACACTAATAGAAGGTGATACAGTTATAGCATTGGAACCATTCATTTCTGAAGAGAACACCGAGTTACTTACTACTATTAAAGAGGTGTATGACTTTCTCCGGTCCTCTTACAGTAATCCCGATGCAGCTGCTCAAGCCAGGGATCAGCTCCATAATCTATGGATGGAACCAGCGCAAGACTTCTACTCCTTTTGTTCCACATGGGTTCTCTTAGCCAGCAAGGCAGGCCTGTCCCAGACAGAATGGAAGTATGAACTGAACCGAAAGCTGATACCACCCCTGAGGATACAAGTGATGGCTTCTTATCTTAACTTTAATGTTTCTTTCAACCAATTTCGGAATATCTGTTCTAACAATACTAAACAGCTTACAGAGATTAAATGGGTCAAGAAGCAGCACCAAAGCTTCTTAAAAGCTTCCTCCCGCCATACCATCACTGCGGCACCTGGACACCAACAATTCATCAGAAGCCTACCAACCCAAGCTTTGTCCAACCAAGCGATTGACACTACCTTCCAACCAGCAAGAGCATCACTTGATCAGAAGACTCCCCGTCTCTCTGCAGTCCCTGAAAGAAAGCACATTCACCAATCACACATACCCCACAAGGCAGAAAGTGTCACATGCTACTTGTGTGGCAAAGAGGGTCATATTGCTCCCAAGTGTCCAGACAAAAGAACTCCTTATGTATATTTTTTAGAAGAAGACAATGAGACCTCTTCTGGTCTGATCCAGGATGTTACTTCTGACAGCGGGTCAGAAAACTCAAGGGCCTAGGGAAAGTCTCCCACCTAGGCCTCCAATGTACTATCAATCAACTGGCTCACCACTCCCTTGAAATTCCATCACTTCAAACAGACCTCACTGGCTTGATAGGCGGCAGTACCTTTATGATGACTGCAACCATCCGGTGGAATAGAATTGCAGTGCGTGTAAAAGTTTTGATTGATACCGGAGCAGAGGTTTATCTTTTAGGCAGCCGTTCAATCATGAGACCCTTGGCTCAACGATAGGAACTCCCTTAAAGACATTTTGATGAGCCTGCCACCCTGAATGGCTTTGGTAAGAGGCATTCACAGGTTATCAACACAGCGGTTGCAGCAAATTTCCAGATTTAGGGAAGAACCTTCCGGGAAGCCCCTATCCTAGAAGCAGAGTTTGGACCCAGCAAGAACTTTGACCTTATTATTGGCAAGCGGTTTTTGGCTGTTCACAACCTCTTACCAGACTGCCGGCGGAACCGCCTATATTTCCCACCAGAACTACCTTTCCTTACCAACTGGAAGACCGACATCACTAACCCAGCTCGCCAGTGGTTAAGACAACGGGCTATCAATCCTCAGGCCCAGCAAGACATGCTCCATAGGGATTCACAGTGGGAAGAGCAAGAGAAACGCCCACAGAAGATACTATAACGCCCTCAAATACTGGCTACATGGGCAAGAGACCATCATCAGTCCTTACAGGCTATGAAAGACCAGCTAGCAGGACGGGACCGCCCGGTATCCTTGCAAAAGACTTCGCTACGCCAGGCTATGAAAGACCAGCTAGCAGGACGGGACCGCCCGGTATCCTTGCAAAAGACTTCGCTACGCCAGGCTATGAAAGACCAGCTAGCAGGACGGGACCGTCCGGTATCCTTGCAAAAGACTTCGCTACGCCAGGCTGTTCATCCCAAGGTTAGCAAAGACGCAATAATGAACGTTCTGGGCGCGGATATCCACCTAGTCTTAGGAAGTACCTTCTTTAGACAGGCTGGTTACCGTCAGAAGCGGCAACATCAACGGCACAGCTATGGAGATGTGTTCTCCTTTTCAGTATATGAGCTTGATCAAGCTATTGATTACTCAATTGATAAGGAAGACTCAGAGACTTAACACCTGCTACGCAGCAGACTTCCACCAGAAACGCAAGATTTTATGGATGTCTTTTCTAAGACAGAAAGCAATGAGCTACCCCCTTTTCGCAAGGATATTGACCACAAGAGTGAGCTCAAGCCAGAGGCCAAGACTCTTTGCCTGCACCCCTTATACAGCATGAAGGCTGACCACCTTATTGCCCTCAAGCAATATCTGACGGAACACTTACGCAAGGAGTGGATTGTTCCTAGTGCAGCAGAGTATGGATCCCCTGTTCTTTTTACTAAAAAGCCAAATGGAGGCTTGCGTTTCTGTGTTGACTACCGCGAGCTCAATGTTCAGTCAAAAAAGGACCGCTACCCACTGCCATTAATCAGCGAAACTTTGGAACGTCTATCTAGCGCTAAGCTGTTCACCAAGCTGGATATCAGGGCGGCTTTCCACCGAATCCGCATGGATCCAGCCTCTGAAGATCTCACGACCTTCCGCACGCGCTTTGGTCAGTACAAGTACAAAATGCTCCCTTTTGGACTTTATAACGGCTCAAGTACCTTCCAGCGATATATCAACAAGGCCTTGTTCCCATATCTGGACGAGTTCTGTACAGCCTATGTGGACGATATCCTGATCTTCTCTACAGACCCATTGGAACACTGGGACCATGTCCGCAAGGTCCTCCAGAAGCTCCGGGAAGCTGGCCTCCAGGCTGACATCAAGAAGAGCGAGTTTGCTGTCATATCAACAAAATTCCTGGGATATATAATATCAACCAGTGGCATATTAGTTGATCAAGCCAAGATTGCCGCCATGAGGGACTAGGAGGAGCCTAAGACTGTTAAAGAATTACAGTCTTTCTTGGGATTCTGTAACTTCTATTGGCAATTCATAGAGAGTTTTAGTAGGATAGCTAAACCTCTTTACCGTCTCACTGTGGCAACCAAGTACCTATGGACCAAGGAACAGCAGAGAGCCTTTGACAACCTAAAGGCTGCCTTATGCTCAGCTCTCTTGCTCTCACATTTCAAGGAAACAGCTTCTACCAAGCTGGAAACAGACGCTTCAGATGGTGTAATCTCAGCAGCCCTTTCCCAATAGGATGAGCAAGATAACTGGCATCCAGTGGCCTATTTGTCGCGAACTATGAATGCAACAGAGTGCAACTATCCCATCCATGACAAGGAACTACTGGCAATTGTCTATGCCATGTGAGAATGGAACCACATGCTCATTGCCCTTTAGTATCCCTTTCCTGTTTTCACAGATCATCAGGCACTCTAGTACTTTGTCATTAAGCGACAGCTCAATGCTCGACAAACAGCCTGGAGTGAGGATATCTCGGGCCTGGACTTCATCATCTCTTTCTGTCCAGGTAGGGAGAACCTGATAGCTGATACTCTATCACGGAAAGCTGTAGATCTGGCTACACAAAAGGCCATCAAGGATAAAAGTCGCCGCCAGATCCTCCTACCTGTTGAAAGGTTCAATAGACCCATTGACCTGCCTGTGACCGACTCGTCATCTAGTCCAGAAGACAACCTGGTATGTGCCATTGTGGCCACCTTGAAAGCCAACAACCAGGACCCAGACGGTTCTCTAGAGGGTGTTCAGCTTATTGATGCCATCTTGACAGCCAACCGCTCTTTAGAGACCCTATTCCTTGAGCAAGAAAAAGCCAAACACAGTCAGCAGGGTTATAGTCTTGTTGATGGCTTATTGTTGAAAAAGGGACGCCTTGTGGTGCCTGATGAGGGGCACCTACACACACAACTTTATGATGAGATTCACAGACTACCTTCCCGTGCACACCCTGGTCGGAACAAGATGCGTGCCTTAGTAGCAGAGCGTTATTCCTGGCCTGGTATGGGTGCTTTCATAGACCGCTATTGCGCTCATTGCCCAGAATGTGGCAGAGGCCGCAATTCATGTCTTAAGCCAGCCGGCTTGCTACAGCCTCTGCCTATATCAGATCGTCCTTGGCAACATGTCTCTATGGACTTCAAGACCATGCCAAAAGACAAGCTAGGCTATGACACAATCTATGTGGTGATAGACCGACTAGGTAAACGCCCGTGGTTTATTCCAACATATAAGACATGTACAGCCAAGGACCTTGCCACCTTATACTTCAATGGACCTTGGAGGGTCTATGGCACCCCTGAGACTGTGACTTCAGACCGTGGTCCCCAGTTCATTGCTGCCTTTTTAGATGAACTAGCCAAGCTCATAGGGATGGACCTACGCCACTCTACTGCAGAGCACCCTCAGACGGATGGTCAGACAGAGATCATTAATCAGTTTCTTTAGACCAAGCTCTGATCCTTTATAAGCCACTTTCAGGATAACTGGTCTTAACTGTTGCCCTGTCTTGATTTTGTTTATGCCACATAATCTCATACAAGTACCGGCTTATCTCCAGCTGAGGTTGAACTGGGGTTTCTTCCAATTATAACATTTGACTGGGATAAATGCAGTCCCCTCTTAAGAAAGACGTCTATTACAGAGCGGCTAAGCCGTTCAGATGCTCAAGAGTTTGCTGAACGCCGGGCACAGGCCGTGGCATGGGCCAAAACCAACCTCTTTAAGGCATAAACAAAGTACAAGAAGCAGGCTGACAAGTCCCAACGACCAATTGACTAGAAGCCAGACGATATGGTATATGTCCGCAAAGGAGCATGGCGTACTGACCGCCCACATGATGGGTTGGACAACCCCTATATGGGACCATATCGGGTCATCAAATAGATCAATGAGAACGCCTCTGAGATTAACTTACCCCCTGGGATAAACGCTCATCAGGTCATCAATACAAGCCGCTTGGTACGGTCACCAAATGACCCTGTCCAGGTCAGGTGATCCCTCCACCGCCGCCCATCGATATGGATGGGGTTCCTGAGTGGGAAGTTAACAAGATTCTGTCCTCCCGCCTAACCCGGGGCAAGCTGGAGTACCAGGCTGAATGGATAGGTCATGATCCTTACCCAATGTGGTACCCAGCAGCTAACTTTAGAAACTCAGCTGTACACGTCAAAGAGTTCCATGACACAAATCCCAAGGCGTCAGGTCCCCCTCAAAGGTTACAGCAATGGATAGAGGCTGCTACTGATGATCAGGATCTAACTGATCTTGAGGAAGACAACCTGCCTGTAAAAGGCTCTGCACAAGGAGTAAAAAGAACTCGGAAGAAATCATTGTCATAAACTGATTTTAATAAAGGGGGGAATAATGTGACGGCCTGCACAGACCTTCCCACATGACAAGTGGATACTTCCTAATAAGGGAAGGATCTGACCAGAAGATCCCCTTAAAGGGGCAACCTCCCACTGTACCTATCTCTCTCTCTCTTCCTTTCCTCTCTAGTCTTGATATTCTCGTCAATAGAATAATAGCTGCTTGCTGCCAGCCATGTCCCAGCTCCTCAGTACGCTCGCCGTGACAGTTCAAGCACGAGGAACACTACAACTGCTCTTGCGGGAGAATCAAAACGCGAGCCCACTTTGCTTTCTGCAACAGAGCCCTTGCGAAACGGTCTAGGTGGCCACGAAGAAACCGCGGACCCAACGGGAAACCCGAACCAGAAGGGAGAGCCTATTGGAAATGGCTGATAACGTACCCAAAGGAATTCGGAGACTTCTGCAAGTGGACAGAATTCTACACGAAAGTCTGTCCCAGGGTTATAGAACATCAGTTCATCGACCACCAGGTGTAACTGCGCCTGTTACCACATCTCCTTACTACTTTTACCATCTTTCTTTATGTTTTTTATTTTGTTCTAGCTTATAGCCTTTTAAACGCAAGGCACTAACTGTCAAAGCAAGAGGAGCTCCCCAACGCTATTCGGACTACCGACTATGAACCAGATATCACAGAACACGAGCCCAAATGGCGGGGCCAACGGAAACTGACGGAATAACATGTGTGCCCTCGAGGTTCGATTTGCAGGTTATCGTGGGAAATAGGGAGTCATGCCCTGCTTCCCGTACAGTAAGGCTTGTATATTAGCCCCTGAGATAGTCACCTGCACGCCAAACATCCACAAGGATCTGGAGACTAGAGCCCCTACGGCGTTAAATAAACTAAACTAAACTAAACTCCGCCACCAGACGTTATGGATGCCTTCAACCATTTCCACCTCTTCCCTAAGCTGCCGCCGAAGTTACGACTCGCGATCTGGGAGCTGCAGCGAGAGAGCAAGCAGGGCATCCGGCACTACTTCCTTGTCAACCATGTCGGACGAAACCAAGTCGGACGACACCTTCAGAAGCACGAATGTGTTAATGCCTGCATGGATACCAATGACGGTCGCTTCGTCGACAATCATGCAACCAGCGGAAAGGCAATCATTGAGAAACCCGCCTGCACCCAAGCTGGTGGATTGAACACTCCGATCGAGCTTCCGGGAAGAGTTGGCAGAGTGTCTTCATCTGCTGCAGTCGCCAGGGGTTGGAGACGTCGCGACGTTCAGACCTCCAAGTCATCGCGCCCCGCCTTCGTCGATGTAAACCTTGGCGACGATGTCTTTGTCTTCAACAACGCCGAGTCGGGCTGGCTCCAATTGCTTTGCAAGCCTATCAGAGCTTACGAACCCTAGCCTCTCCCCAACCACCACTTCTTCTTCGACATCCGGCAGCTCGCAATCACCCCGTCCTGGACTGGATGGATGGGTCTATGGGATAAGGACTGTATCATGCGCATCAAGAACCTTAAGGTTCTCTACATCATCATCCCCCAGCCCACCGACAATTGCCCCTTGGGCAATCCTCGCACCTGGCAAGGTGTTTCGTTCCAGGATGGTTTTCTGCTCTTTAGCGAATTTCAACGGGTACACCAAGATGAGACTCTGGGTCAGAACCGCCAGTGCGGCTGTCTACCTACCGGCAATCGATGGTCCGAGATCATTCAATTGATTGATTGATTGATTGTGTTTAACGTGGGGGGTAGCTCCTCAGTAGTGCAAACCACGCCTCCCAGAGCCTCTGTATCGCAGGGTTGTGGAGGTATCAAGATAATAAGTACAGTCAGTCCCGCTCACGAGCACATCCCCGTTGTTGCGGCGGTATGACCTTGGGGTCATCCATCTGGTCCTTCAAGAAAAGCTATCTATCGGGGGCAGATTGTTGAAAAGAACTTGCTTTTCTCCACGAATTTTGTCCATTCTGTGCTCCTCTCCCCTAAGTATTATAAACAAGCTGTCCTAGGTAAGTACCTAGACAGCAGCCGATTTTTCCCCAGCCTCTTACAAAAAAAAATATGTTGTGGTGTTTTCTTCTCACTATAGTTGCAGTGATCATTCGAGTCTGTATGCCCAAAGCGTTCATGGTATCAGGCAAAGTCGTCATGTCCAGATCTGGCTGCTAGAAATCTGTGTAGAGTACTCCTCTTAAAAGATATAAGGTCTCTTTTAGTTACTGTATGTGAGTATACTTCTTAATATCTAGGTTCTGATTGGTTTTTTTATTATTGGTTGAACTCTTTTTTGTCCTTTCTTTTGAGATCTTTCTTAACCCAAGAGATTATAGGAAGGTTTGTTGTGTCTGTTTCTAGTATGACACCCTCTTTTGCTAGTGTGTCGGCAGCTTCGTTGCCATCAATATCTCTGTGTCCAGGAATCCACTTGACGGTCACTCCAGGAGTGTGTGCTGTGGCAAGTTCTTGAAATCATAGAAAAATGTTCTGTGATGTCTCGGGTGGAGTCCCATTGAGCCCGTCTACTACTGACGTGTTATCCAGACAGATATATAGCTGTTTTCTATGTCCAATTACCCTGGCTGTTGTAAGACCTTGGAGAGCACCATGGACTTCAGTATCTATTACTTCTGCTTGGAGAAGTCTGTCCTTTTCCCGGTATATTTCTTGTGTAGTGCCGCCTTTCCTGATGGTGTAACCCCATCCAGTACGGGTTGTGCCTTGGTCGTCCAACTGTGATCCATCTGAATAGATGACAAGGTCAGTGTTCATATTTCTCTCCTGTAGCCATTGCTTGAAGAGCTCTATTTCTTTGTCTTTGTCTTTACGGATTGGGGGCTTCTTCCATGATGGCCTGGTAAGTGTTGGTCTCTGGAAGTCAGGGACTAAATGGAAGCTCCTTTGTAGCCTTGTTGGATTCTTGCGAGCTTGTATTTGGAGCCTGCCAACAAGAGGGTGTCTCTGGTCTATTCGTCCTAGTCGGAGGCCGTGACGTCGTCGACCCGGCTGGGGTTTTCTCGGTCGCTGATGGACAGAGATTTCCGCACACGTGAGAACGCACGCTTATTCATGTCAAGGCGACATAGGCAAGTGCACTTCGCCGTGGATCGAGAAGGGATTTCATCCAATCTTTAGGTCTACTGCAAGATCTGACAAAAAGAGTGTCAGCTGAGCCCCAAGGGTTCCAGCTCCAGCTGGCGTTGATAGAATCAAGCCCAGGTCCACTTTATGCGTCTCAACTGTATCTACCACACATCATCCCAACCACAGACACTACCATGGGTTTATCTACTAACATCTCCACGGAAAAAGATCATAGAAGCCCCTATAGCCACGCCTTGAAAGAAGTTCACGGACATAATCAGTGTACGTCCAGCAGCACAAGAAAAATTGCGCAGAAGAAAGAAACAAGCCCAGAACCGATCTCCCAAAGCAAGACCTTCACCTTCCAACAAGCCTGCCTTCAAAGCAAACCACAACCATAGACCTGGTCGGTCTCAACATATACACCGCCGCTACTACCTACACCGGCAGGCCTAGCCCCAGCTCCTTGATGATGATATCCGCAGCCTTCTCCCCAATCATCAGCGCCGTATTATTCGTATTGGCGCCCACATTCTCCGGTGCAATGCTCAGATCCGCAACCTTCAGCCCCCTGGCCCCGTACACATTGAGGTCTTTATCCACGACACCCATTTCTTCTCGCGGCGCCATCTTGGCGGTTCCTAGCGAGTGCCATGTCGTATCGATGTTCATGCGGATGAACTGCTCGATGACCTTGTCATCTTCAGGGGAGTACTCGAAGTTCTCGATCTCCTGGCCACCCTGGCCCTTTGCCTCGGTATCTCCTGTTGCCTCTCCATCATAGGCGCCCTCTAAGTCCCGGTCAACAGACACGACCCCAGCCTTCGAGCTGGACAAGAACGGTGGGTGGTACACCGGTACCTCACCGCGGTAGAACCACGTGCGGCGGATGATCTCGCGGCCCTTCTTGTATGCCCAGATCTGCTTCTTGACATCGAGATCGTGCGGGTCGCTGAAGAAACCCACGTTGAAGTCGAGCTCGTCTTCGACTTTGGGCCCTGTGATGTGGATGTGGCCGCGGGAATAGGGGTACTGCGTGTACGTTAATATCAAGTCTTTGAACCCGTGGGCCCATTTCTAGATGAAGAAAGAAAGAGAACAACAAAGCTTGTCCCCGAGAGCAAGTCTCAGTGTCTTGTGACGGGATGCTTTCATATACGTACCGTGGTGAAGCTGCATACGGAGACATATTGGCCAGGGTCAACGGTTGACGCGTCGCCGACGAATCTGTAAGCTGTTAGCCTCTGTGTCTAGTATTCCATGCTATACTTGGATTATATGGTCTATATGGCCGCGAGGAAAGGGGCATCGTACGCATTCAAGAGCCCCATCGACATCATAGGCCTATTCGGCTGATCCCTGAAGTCCATATCCCACGCATCCTGGAACTCCGGCCCCATCGCCGCGACCTCAGCATCGGTCGGCCTCAACTTGGAAGCGATATCGCACGTGTTCCACCCTATGCGGGGATCATTCTTCTCCGCCGCCTCCTCAAAGCTCGTTGCCCCGAGGTAGAAGTCATCCAGTGTCTCCTCGGGCTTCAGCGAGGTCTTGTACGGATACAGGATCAGATGATGGTCCTGGTAATCGTGCCCCACGCCCGGTAGGTCCGTGACGACCGGCACGCCGGCTTTCTGCAAGATCGCCGGGTTACCCACCCCCGAGCGTTCCAGCACCAGCGGCGTTCCGCACGCCCCGCACGCTACTACGACCAGTCGACGTGCCCTCACTTGCAACTTCGGCGCCGGCGCGCCGTCAAGACGCGAAGTAAACGCTGCGCTCGGCGTGTACTCGACACCACAAGCCCGCTTCCCGCTCCCACCGGCATCATCACCATCACCATCCTCAAACAAAACCCTCACGACCTTCGCCTCGACCAAAACATGCAAATTCGGATGTCCCCCATCATTCAGCCGCGGATGCAAGTACGCATGCGCCGTATCGGACCGCTTGCCATCCGGCGACGCGTACCGCAGCCAGCGCTGGAAGCCGTTGTTCGTGTCGAGGCTCTGCAGGTCGCTGATCTCGGGGTAGCCGACCGTGCGCGCGGCGCGCAGCCACTCCTCCTCGACGCGCTTGACGCGCATCGTGCTGTCTGAGACGTGGATCGGGCCCGAAGCACCGTGGTGCGAGGGGGAGCCTGGGCCGTGGTAGGTTTCGAGCTTGGGAGGGGGCGTTAGGGTTGATGCGGGTTTGGGAGTGGGATGATGCCTTTAGGGGTAAGGGGTAAAGGGGGTGGTGGAGTTGGTGGGAACGTCGGCGCACCTTCTTGAGGTATGGCAATACCTCGTCAGCTGTCCAGCCCGGCGTCTTCCACGAGTCGAAGTCTTCCAGTTGGGCCCGGGTGTACCTAGTCAACAAGAGGCTAAGTAGTCGACCCAATGGCTTCGCTTGGAGCAAACCCAAGATGCGGTACCTACATCATAAAGTTGATCGATGAACCTCCTCCCAAGATGCCCCCGGATGGGACAATACACTCCCTGTCGGCCAGGTAGCTCGACTTGACAGCCTTGTAGAAGATGGCCGAGGTGGAGCCTGGAGCGATGTGGGTGAGGAACTGCGCCGGCTGGACGACGCTGGGCTCGTTGTAATTGTTCGCGCCACCCTCGATGACCAGGATTGAAAGTCCGGGATCAGCCTCGGCGAGACGTCCGGCAACGATGCAGGCCGCTGTGCCACCTGGGGTTCGTCAGTGAGGATGTCATATAGGCTGAGCTATTTTGGAAGACGGGAGATCTGAGGGTCGTACCTCCGGCGATGATCACGTCCACCTCCTTGATGTCCTCGGGAAGTTCCTTACATAAACCCATTCTGAATATTGTTAGGTGTGTGTTTGTTGTTCAGCGAGCAGCAGCGAACAGAAAATGGGAATGAAAACTTCAGATAAGTATACAATCAGACAAGGTATTGGCTATCTCGGACCGCAAGTGTATGACGAAGATTCCATCACCCTCACACGAATCCTCCAAGCTCATTGGCCACTTCAACATCATTGATGCCGCCACATCATGCACGCACTTCGCGGCACGTAGCACTCCCCGCATTCTTCGACCCTGGTGACCAGCAGACCATGCCGCTCTCCCCCGCTTTCAAGATCCAAGGTGCGACGACAGCGTTCCCGTGGATGTGGATGCCGAGCTTCAACGTGGGGGTGACTAGGTTACGGGTGGTTGATCTCGGCCAACGAGCTAAGTCGGGATGCTGTGACTTTCGGATGAAGCGAGACAGGGACACGACGGGCTTTCCAGAACCGTCGTGTAGTACCATAAGATTGCGGGAAAGCTTTCGTAATGGTCAAACCGGACTGCAAGTGCTTCACCCAACGCTTGGGCACACAGATAGGCAACGATACACATAATATTTTGGAACAAGATTAGCAGGTAACTAATCTCTACCAGCTTGGGGCAGCTCCCCCGTTTCTGAGCGTCCTACAGTAAGTACCCAGCTGGTTGCGACAAGCGTTGATGATAGCATGCCACACCAAACTGGGCAAAATGCCATAGCTGACTTTGTCGATGGCCATAATGATGACTTTGTCGGTGGCTGTCGGTGTGGCATGGGTACTTTCACTACCTTAGCTACTTAACCCACGACTTTACCAGGGACCACACGTCCACCACCACCTTGACTTGCACTTTGTCTCGTCCATTAAGGCTGAATATCTCCTTGATCTTCACTAATAGCCGTTGGGCACATGGTTGTTCCATGGGAGGGAAGGATGACTCCCAGTCACCATACCTAGCAGTTACTTCTGCGATTCTCTCTTCGATGTCCACATCTAGGAAGCCGTTCCCCCGAATTTCCTGACGGATTCCGCAGTAGCGTTGACCCGTCAAATTCCTGCTACAAGGTCCTTGACAGCGGCATACACCGTCTTTCAACTGTCTCCAATTGTTGTAGTGATGCATCGGCAGGATGATGAAGACGGTTTTCATGCCCGTCAGCTGAAGCAGAGCCGCTTTATCGAGGTCATTCAAGGTATTCGACTCGGCGGTCGCGAAGACGGCAAGTTTCTGTATGCGCTTCGACCAATGATCGCTCTTGATCTCTTGCGGTATCTTTGCTCCGATGTTGTGAAACAAGAATCGTAGGCGTCCGGGGAGTCTGTAGTGGGCGTTATGGACGAAGAAGGTATGGCGCTGGAAGTTGACCCAAGTATATGCGGGGGATAGAATTCTTCGATTCTGTTCAATCCTGGGATTTCGGAACATGCGCAGGATATCTTCGGGTACCGTGACAGTCGAAATGTTGTTGGTGAAGCAAATCTGGTGTTCCATGGGATCCAGAGGTGCACTTTCACCAGTTCTGAGATCGATGCTCCCTCCAGCCGTCTTGACAAACTGCAGCTTTTCCATATCGAGTGCCGCGTAGCAACGTCCCTCACGCTCCATGAAGCAGTATTGGCGCATGACGGGCTGGTCTTCGCGCCAAATGGCCCAGATGATGAGCTGGATCTCGGGGGGTAGCCGAGGGAAGAGGTGAAACTCGATAGGACGAGCCACCGGTTCATCGTGGGGCATGGATGCCACCTCGGAAGACTTTCCCATCTCGACGGAGTTTGCCGGCTGGACTCGCTTCATGCTGGTCGATTCGCTAGATTGACTCGACAGAGTTGCTCCCATACGACCGCTGGTGATAGGATGGCTGTTAGACTGTGCGCACCTGTTGAAAGGTCGAGATTGGCTGAGAGTCGACATGCAGCCTCAAGCGCGAGCGGTGTGCGGATTGCTGGTGCTGCTGCACGCACCACCAAAGAAGTGGGCGGATGCGACAGAGGGGAGGTGACGCGTGGAAGTGAGCCACACGAGGGGGAACAGGTAAAAGAGGAAGTGGAGCGTGGGCAAAAATTTAGATGTGAGGAGGTAGGCTTTATATGGTGTTGATGGCGTTAAGGTTGAGGGGAAAGACAGACAGAGTTCAGCCAAGAGCCACAAAAATAACAATATAAAATCGGCAATCTTCTCAAGGTTGCCGCATAGCCTGGATTGATTCCAACATCGGTAACATCTCTCATTCTGTTGGGTTGGGAACACGGATACTTGAGTGTTGACTGTTAATGTGGGTGCAGTGTTGCCCGGGGCGGCAAGACAGCAACGTTGGAAGGGGAGGTACTGCAGCCCGCTACCTGGGGACCCACACGGGCCATCGTCAAATAGATGGGACCACTACCCTGACTGATGTGAGTGCGGGCAACGACATGAATAACATCAAAGCCTGCTGGCGCTGTGATTTTAGACTGGAACAATCAGCAACTTCCCCAGGGCGGTGGTGTCACGTACGTAAGCACCCCGAATACGTCCCAAGGTATGCCGCTGGAGTTCCATGGTTTTCGACGACTTGGCACAGCTCAAGCGTTCTGTGCATATGTTTTTCGTATTGGATTCAGGCTGTACTGTTCACGAAGAAGACCACTCCTGTTGGTGAAGCTGGCCTCACATTGTGGATCATGACAGCTTCTCGGCTGCAAATCGACCATCATCCGCTTCACCTCGTGGAGAACTAGTAAAGGTGGTACTTCCATATGGCGGTATCATCTAACAGCTGGGAAACAAATGACAATCTAATTCAGTGCCCAACCGTGAACCCAGTCTATCTAGCGCTCAACATATAGCCTTGATATCCAGACCACCCCTATACAGCCGTACAGCGACAAACAGCCCAAAAGCCACCGTCGTGGCAACCGAAGCCCACACCTGCGAGCCCGTGAAGCTGCCCCCACTGTCCGCCTGTATAGCGCCCCCCAGCGGCGGCCCCGTCAGCGCCGCGAACGAGACGATGCCAAAGGCCATGCCGAGCCGCGTGCCGACAGTGTCGAGGTGCATCGTGATGCTGGCCACCGTGGTGGGGATCAAGCACTGGAAGCCGCCCGACACAATGCCGTAGAAGACGGTGAAGACGTAGTAGCCCGGGACGCTGCGCACGGCGAGCCAGCACCACGCCACGACAACCCAGATCAGCGCGACGGGGAGCAGCACGTTGATGGGGCCGACGCGGTCGGCGACGAGGGGCGGGAGCACGCGGAAGGGCAGGCCTGCACCGTTGAGGATGATGACGAGGATGGAGGCGGTGGAGTAGGGGAGGTTTAGGATTTCTGTGCCGAATGAGGCGATCTGTTTCAGTGTGAGTGCGCGACACCTCAAAGGGGGCAGGGGAGGTCTGTGGGGGAAGTACGAGGGAGGGAGTGAGGGAACGTACATAGTAAAATGTGTAGTAGTTGGCCCACATGAGGAAAAATAGTCCCGCCACGAAGCCAGCATAGACAGGCTCCTTGAAAGCCGAGCAGTCGACGGCCGGGCCGGCTTTCCTTGGCGGCAGCCGCGGGCGCATGAATATCAGCACCACGGCGAGGCAGGAAAGGTTGATAAAGGCAAGGACCCTCGCGGTCCAGGCGAACCCAATAGCGGGTATGAGCTGCCGCACCACGAACGGGTAGATCATACCCCCGGCAGAATTGCCGGTGGTCGCGAGCCCGATGGCCAGACCACGCCGCTTGTCAAAATACGTCGACACCAGCGCCAGCGAGGGCGTGAAGAAGATGCCGCCGCCGATGCCCGTGAGCACGCCCTGAGTGAGCATGAGGTGCCAGTACTCGGTCGCGATACTCATCAGGAACATTCCCAGCACCTGGATGGTGGCGCCGACCATGAAGGTCGGCAGGAAGAGCCCGGCGTCCAGCAGCCGGCCCGAGAACACCCCGATGCCGAGAGTCAGGAAGACCTGGATGGAGCCGATCCACGAGACCGTCGAGGCCGGCACCGGCAGTGTGGAGGTGTAGTACGTCTGGAAGGCGCCGAACGAGTTGACGTAGCCCCAAGTGGTGAAGATGACGAGCCAGCCCATGGCTACTTGTAGCCACTGTGTTGTTCACTTATGTTAGCAACTTTCACTCGAGCCACTCGCTGTTTTCACGATGGTACTTGTCTGGTAATCACCAATCCGCACCAAACACGGGAATTCTCAGCCAAGCGGCTTTTGAGATGGCGTTTAAGCCGTCATGCGGGAAGACTGGGTTGCAAGTATAGCGAAGTCCGCTCAGGAATAACTCACTGCATGTAAGCCACCGTCTGGCGGCGGGGGGGCCTCGGGCAAATCGCGCGTCGTGATGCGAGAAGCGCAACGTGAGAGGACATTGCTGGTGGCTCGTCTGAGATCGTCAGTCACACTTCTGGCCCGTCGTCTGCTTCTAGTCCGTGACGTTTGGCCGCACTCCACGTCGCTGTCTAGTGAAGCGTCGTGCTGATCTTCGATATCCTCTCGTGAGGAGTCGGGAGAGGGGCCATCATGCGCCTTTGTCGCAGGGGAGTGCTTTTCGGTCATGGTGCTGTGGTAGGTAGTACATATGCGATGGTAGATAAGCGGATGTTGTTGATGTCGGCAATATCATTAGGGTGTAGAGGATAGGAATTACTGTTGGTAACAGAAACTGAATGATAGAAAGTGAAGAGGTCTTAGCGATGTTCGGCATGGTATGAGGCAGCAAGGTACCCATTATACAAGAGCGGAAGCTAAAGGAGAAAGGAGAACAAAAAGAGGCGGAACTTTGAAATCGAAAGTCAAAAGATGGCCAAGTGGACTCCGTCTTCGGCAACAGCAGCGGACTAAACTCTTAGGACATGCCACTACGACTCTAATATGTGGAGTATAATCGACGCCCACCGATGCCCGATGCCCGATCTCCAGCTCGACAGAGACACGCCGTTCCGAGCCTCGCCGAGCGCCGGTTCACGATCCACTGTGGAACCGACGTGCAGCTCGGGCTTCTCCCTCCGACGCGGCCCGGGGACGTCCTGCGACCGGCTGATCTCGAATCGATCGCTGCTCAACTCATAAAGGTGATGATGCTGCCAGTGCGACGTGGTTGTCATTAACGCTCCCGTTTCTTAAGATCTGAACTTACTGTAAGTTTACCGGTGCCTCAAATAAGAGGCATGGCTTGCTACCTTGCTGGTCGCTAGCTTTTAGACCCGAGCAACACTCTTCTGACGGGCTTTCAATCGCCCACATGCCAACCCCCGTCTTGTCTGGATTATGTTCCCCATGGCAAGGCATGCGATACCATACCAACTCAAGAAAATCTGCATGTGGGGCTGTCTCAATGTCCAGCAATCATCAGTGGTGTGTTCGTATGCAAGTTCTATGCTCTCCAGACATGCGATGAACCTGAGTGACGAATCGCGGCTATTGGTACATTGGCCGTGATGTCGGCCCCTGAACGGATAGATTGAAAGCTTATCTCAACGGCCAACTCTAAAACGATGGTGTAGCCAAAAACATACCATTTGATGAGAGAGTTCCATTGGGCGGCAAGGACTAGACCTCTGCACGCCACGCGTACACACAACACACTGGCAGATCCAGTGCTATATAACCACGTCTCGCGTCCCAAACTAAGAACAGAGACTTCTTCCTTCTCACCTCACTTCACCAACGCGACCGCGCTTGGTGGTATTTTCGGTAGCGCTTCCGCCCCAAAGCCCTACCTCAATTCCTCGTGAAGGCACCGCGGCTCTCACTCTCTCTTCGCGGCGGAGGGCGCGTCACTAAAGCCCCCAACACACGCGGAGCGGGCATGTTCAAATGTTCATCACACACACACACCGAAAGAACAAGTAACTATTGGGCGTAGTCCACTGCCTACTAGCCCCTATTCCCTTATCTCCGAGCCCAGCCGAAACCCCTCCAAACTCCTGTGGCTGCACGTCTGGATGTCCAGATGAGTGGCGGATCTGTTACGCTAGGTTTTTGCCTGACTCCTTTCGATCTTTCATTGACCATAGTTGGGTTTGCTTCCGCGAAGAGAATGAGTGGGAACAACCAACCCAGCCTGTTTGGGCAAACTGCTGTACATACATGGTAGTTACCATCTCGTTGCGTGACTTTTATAAGGGTTGGAAACAACGATGTTGAAGTGAGCTTCCCTCTGAGACTATCATTACTGGCCATAATCGACTTTGTGTCTTGTTCGTTTCTGCCATGGGTGACATGGGGAATTCTCATATCGTGCTGTAAGGTCCTCCATCTTCCGTTATATTTCGCGAAACAACAAGACTTCTACGCAGACATCCGAAACCCACGGTCTCATGATACATGAGTTGTATCTCTCAGTGGGCTGTATCATGCGAGCATATGCGGATCCAACGTTTCATTTGTGCGCAGGCGGCCGCTCAACGTTGCTGATCATTTGATGTGCCGAAATTACTATAAAACGAATATCAGCTATCATATCATGCGGGGACGGTTCACCATTCGCCCTCTTTTCATAATGAATATCAGATGAATATAGATGCAGAGACAAGAGCGCGGGGTAGTAGAAGAAGGGGACTTCATTCTTTTCGGAATGGAGGGTTCAGATTCCATAACCGACGCGATATTGCAAATATGCTTGGGAGTCTATCATGCAATGGCCCACCAAAGGGCTCACGAAGCTAGGTGCCTTACACGTGTTCAGGCATCAACACCTAGTGGCTTCAATTCAATCCTACGTCGACACCGATGCCCACAGTCCATCTTCAACACCTTCGTACACCGCACACCTTCTACCGCTTCGTCCCTGCGCACTCGGCTTCTTGCGTTGCTTTATACCCTCTATCGGGCTTCGCCCTTCCGCTTTTCATAAACCTTCCCACCCACGATAACTGCAGATCACCGCAGATGCATTACTTCAAAACTTTTCGCCGCACATCGTCCTTCGCGAGAAAGGCGGTAACTGGAAGGAGTGAAACTCAGGAGGGAAATGGGGTAAATCGAGGTTTTGGCACAGTATTTTTCGGGGCTTTCTAGAACTAGCTACGAGGGTCCCTATTCACATGAGGTCCGTAACCCTCTTGCGGTACACCTTACTACACCATGCAAGCTCTCGCAGGGGTACTCTCGCTCTCAACCAACCACGGCTACACAAAAACACCGCTACTGTGCCTGCACCGCTGAAGGTATACAATCTACGAGCAAGTTGTGTGTGGACACATTGATGGTGCGATCAATGATATGACGCTTGCCATGCTGTTGATACTGGAGGGAGGTTATCTTCAGAAAAAATGGCGTCGCTCAGCCTTCTTTATGAACTAGACGTTGAGAACCGCAGTCTCGCGCGGTTGACAGGAAACATACGGTAGTCCTTTTCACGTGGGCGAGATCATGGTTCTTCGTCAGTACCGTGCACTCACCCAATGGAAAATAATCTCAAACGAGCCAGCATATTTTGTTGTATATATCGGTCCATAGTATTTGCTTTCTTGTAGACAGCCTCAATTGTTGCCCATCCAAGTCATTCGAGACCCATGGTATTGTCACGGCACTAGAAGACAGCCCCACAGCTCCGGGGGCCAACCCCTATATATACCAGATCATGTCTCCTAGCTGGCTTCATAGCTTCCTTTCTTCTTCACGTACATCAACTAAGTCAGTTCTGGAGTCACCGGCAGTCGAATTGTGACAGTGGGCCACGGCGTCAAGCGCTAGATCAAAGCGTCCATTAAGAAGGCGATTGCCGACCTGGATTTAGACTCGCTTGGTAGGCGAGGATTGTATCACTCTTTGAGCCCTCGGATGCTAATAACCACTCTAGATGACGAGCTTTATGACACCTTACGGTATCTCTCAGGTATTCGAGTGGTAGAGCCAGACACGCCAGGAGCTGCAGTCCCTCCGAAGCGTCCGGAACTCCATGTCGAGTGGTGAAAATCACCATGCTTCTTTCCTCTGCTGGGCTTTGGCATGTGGACCTCAATGCGAGGTCTCAGACACTATTGTGGAACTGATCCAGTGGCTCGATTCGCACCTCTGATCATGAGGCAAAACCCGGACAGAACCACGGCAGAGCTCGCTGAAGTAGCTGTCAATCGCCAGGAAAAGATAAATGCGGCCAAGTCTAGCACTATCCTCCTGTTTGACGGGTTCTGCTTAGGGAATCTCATAGTCGGAGGATTGGCCTTGGAGGTTATTCAAGAGCTCATAGAGCACGTTAGACGTGGCGACTTGTCGCATACCTAATATGAAGAGGCGGCCGTATGGCGCAATGGTCAAATGCGCCTGGTTGTGTTCTCGTTTGTGCGGTGGGCGACGAGAACAAGTGGGTTCGAATCCTGCTATGGCCCCCTTTCTGACCCGGCTTGTGCGAGTCGATAACCAGCACACGACAGTGGAGAGGCCCCATTTATCGCAGAGCCCGATAGCCAAGCAGCTTGTCTCCACAATACCCACTCCTGCGAGGTTTTCCCCCTTGTGGTTTCCCTCGCCAGCAGATAACAAACACCTACTCCACTCACCAATGCGACATATATCGAACGGCTACTGGAACGATATGTACACCAGAGAACTGAGGTTCACTGGGTCGCTTTGTCACTAGATAGGAGGTTTTTCTGACGGAATCGTGTTTGGGTATTGACTAAAACCATCTGAACACTACAGATTGGTACCGCTACAGCGAGGATAGGCTCGTGCGCGGATCTGAATGTATCTAATTTGACACCTCTACAACCTTGCGATGCAATGGCTCTGGGAGGCGTGGTTTGCACTACTGAGGAGCTACCCCCCACGTTAAATACAAAACAAACAAACAAACCTAATATGAAGAGTCTGAAATGCGCCGATAACTTCTTTTGTCTGGAAGAAGGTAGACACGATGCAACACGATGTTTCTAAGCAGTGACCCCCTACAGTCGAGACCTAGTCGATGTGGTTTTGCCTGTATTTGTACGTATACTCATAATAAGACCTGGAGTAGCACACGCACGTGACCTAACAGACGTCTACAAAATCAATTACCACACCCCCCATAAAGATTCTACAACCACCGGGCTGACAGCATTAATGAATGTCTTCTTTACAATTCAAGATGGGTGCTGATTTACAACCTACTTCTATCTCCCTGGTATGACATGTCGCGCAACGTAAGTGATTTCTTGCAGACAGTGTTCGGCGTGTTTATTCCAACCCACCCCGGCAACATGGTATGTTCTGCCGACTTGCCTCGAGCCACTCCGTACCGCATACCAGCATTCTCAGCATTGGTGCACTTGCGTACGTGCGTACATGGCACACGCCGTTGTGGAGGGTCACGATGTCATTCAGTACCGACGAAGAACCAACCCGAGTCAATCAAGCGCCGTGCGTAGATGGTTCATGTGGTTGATATTCGTGTATTTAGTGCTGATTGTGTTGCTCAGAAGTTGTTGTTGTGTCCACTTGGCCCCTGATCGGTGCACTGCCACCTCCCCGGCACCATGGTGGCTTGCGTGCCATTCAACACAAGCCCGGCATCGGACTAGAGCAGTCAGGGGCACGGCATGTCCGTCTCATGTCAACCAATGGACTCCAGACCACCACGAGATCACGAGAGATCCCAGCATTGCGCTGGCAGCCAAGAATAAAGCAGATGTTTTTCGTATTAATTTTCATATCGCGAACGAAAACCTAGACCCAAACCACCCCATTTTCCATGCTGTGTTGAACAGACTAACCGCCTACAGGCCACATATTATCTCCGTCCGCAATACCCTCAATTATAGCTCCCATAGGCTCAGACCGATGGAGCACATGACAACGGCACGCGCGCAAAGCCCCTGCGCATAGCCCTTAGCCCTGCGCATAGAACCAGAAAACCTCCTGGAGGCAGAAGAAACAAAACGCCAAAACAGAACTGAAATCGCTCATCCCGCTCATCTCTCGTCAGGGCATAGCCGAGGCAGTCTCCACCTCATCTTCCCGACCTGAAGGGTTTCACGCCCACGTGGTCTTCTTGGCGGTGCGGGCTGCAATTGTGGGAGTTGCTGCAGCATAAGTCTCAAGTGGGATTGGGAGTGAGACGGAGGCTGTGACAGTTATCAACGCAGTCTCAGTCGTAGTCGAGCCAGCTGGGCATGTCGAGCTCGCAGTCGTAGTCGTAGTCGTAGTCGTAGTCGTAGTCGCAGTTGCCCCAGATCCAGAAGCAGTGACGGTGCTTGTGGCAGTGCTAGTGACAGTGCTAGTGGCAGTCTGGCCGATTCCAAGGTTGACGGTGATCAACTCAGTCGTGGTCGCAGTCGTAGTCGATCCAGAAGCAGTGACAGTGCTCGTGGCAGTGCTTGTAGCAGTTTCAGTGGCAGTCGCACCAAGTCCAACACTGATAGTAATTGTGGCAGTCGCCGTCGCAGATCCAGAAGCTGTGATAGTGCTTGTGTCTGTAACAGTGCTGGTGGCAGTCTGGCCAACTCCAAGACTGATGGTGATCAACTCAGTCATGGTCGCAGTCGAAGTTGCAGTCGTAGTTGCGCCAGATCCAGAAGCTGTGACAGTGCTCGTGACAGTGCTGGTGCCAGTCTGACCAAGTCCAAGACTGATGGTGATCAACTCGGTCGAAGTTGCAGTCACCGTGGCAGACCCAGCAGAAGTGACAGTGCTCGTGACAGTGCTGGTGCCAGTCTGACCAAGTCCAAGACTGATGGTGATCAACTCAGTCGTGGTCGCAGTCGAAGTTGCAGTCGTAGTTGCGCCAGATCCAGAAGCTGTGACAGTGCTCGTGACAGTGCTGGTGCCAGTCTGACCAAGTCCAAGACTGATGGTGATCAACTCGGTCGAAGTTGCAGTCACCGTGGCAGACCCAGCAGAAGTGACGGTGCTTGTGACAGTGGTTGTGGCAGTGGCACCGGCACCAACACTGATAGTGATTAGGGCAGTCGAAGTCGCAGTGCTCGTAGCAGTAACATTGCTAGTAGCAGTCGCACCAAGTCCAACACTGACAGTGATTAACTCAGTCGAAGTCGCAGTGACTATGCTTGTGGCAGACACAGCCGAAGTGACAGTGCTTGTAACAGTGCTGGTGGCAGTAGCGCCGGCACCAACACTGACAATGACAGTGGCAGTCTCGGTGGATGTGGCAGATGATCCAGGAACAGTAACAGTGGCACCGGCACCAACACTGACAGTGATCAGGGCAGTCTCAGTTGATGTGGCAGTCTCGGTCGATATGGCAGTCTCGGTCGATGTGGCAGTAGCACCGGCACCAACACTAACAGTGATCAGGGCAGTCTCAGTTGATGTGGCAGTCTCGGTCGATGTGGCAGTCTCGGTCGATGTGGCAGTAGCACCGGCACCAACAGTGACAGTGAGTGTGGCAGTCTCAGTGGATGTGGCCGTAGCACCGGCACCAACGCTGACAGTGACAGTGGCAGTCTCAGTGGATGTGGCCGTAGCACCGGCACCAACGCTGACAGTGACAGTGGCAGTCTCGGTGGATGTGGCAGATGATCCAGGAACAGTAACAGTGGCACCGGCACCAACGCTGACAGTGAGAGTGGCAGTCTCAGTCGATGTGGCAGTCTCGGTCGATGTGGCAGTCTCGGTCGATGTGGCAGTAGCACCGGCACCAACACTGACAGTGATCAGGGCAGTCTCAGTTGATGTGGCAGTCTCGGTCAATGTGGCAGTAGCACCAGCACCAACAGTGACAGTGAGTGTGGCAGTCTCAGTGGATGTGGCCGTAGCACCGGCACCAACGCTGACAGTGACAGTGGCAGTCTCAGTGGATGTGGCCGTAGCACCGGCACCAACGCTGACAGTGACAGTGGCAGTCTCGGTGGATGTGGCAGATGATCCAGGAACAGTAACAGTGGCACCGGCACCAACGCTGACAGTGAGAGTGGCAGTCTCAGTCGATGTGGCAGTCTCGGTCGATGTGGCAGTCTCGGTCGATGTGGCAGTCTCGGTCGATGTGGCAGTAGCACCGGCACCAACACTGACAGTGATCAGGGCAGTCTCAGTTGATGTGGCAGTCTCGGTCAATGTGGCAGTAGCACCAGCACCAACAGTGACAGTGAGTGTGGCAGTCTCAGTGGATGTGGCCGTAGCACCGGCACCAACGCTGACAGTGACAGTGGCAGTCTCAGTGGATGTGGCCGTAGCACCGGCACCAACGCTGACAGTGACAGTGGCAGTCTCAGTGGATGTGGCCGTAGCACCGGCACCAACGCTGACAGTGACAGTGGCAGTCTCAGTCGATGTGGCGGATCCAGATCCAGGAACAGTCACAGTGCTTGTGGCTGTCTGAGTCGAAGTTGGTACTGCAGGACAGGTCCCATCCGCAGTCGAAATGATAGTCGAAGTGGCAGTCGAAGTGGCAGTCGAAGTCAAAGTGATAGTCGAGGTACTAACGCTGCTACTTCCAATGGTCGTGGCGGTCGTGGGCGTCATGGTGCTTAAGCTATACATGATGTATCGGGTCAAAACTGATATGCATAATGATGTGTAATACAGCAAAATGAGATGGTGCTGAGGCTTACATCGCGCTGGTGGTGGTGATGGTACCATCGATGCAGTCCCCTCCTAGGTCTGACGCGTTGTAATACCCTACACTGCCATATATGCCAAAGAAATTCCCGTTCGGGTCATATTGACCATTGTTGGTCGCATAAGCTGGGCCCCAAACTTGTGCGTACTACGACCGAAGTGTTAGCCAGCTCATGCTCGTGGTAATTATAATCACGATGCACTCACCAGAGAGCAGTACTGCGCGAAGTCGTCGGCGCCCTTCTGGAGCATGTAGGTGTTGAAGAAGCGGCACGGTTCTCCGTTCGCAGTCGCGTTTCTGCAGGCCTCAGCGCAGTTTTCGGGGTTGAATTGGCCGCTGAGGTATACGAAGCAGCCCATATGGGAATTTTTCGCGAGGCAATCGAAAGGAGCGTTGGTGGCGTAGTTGCCAAAGTCGAACGAGTTAGGGAAGCCGGCGATTGGAACCGCGGCCACCGAACCTGCTGATAGCACGACTGCCGGCGGCGGGCCGGTAATGGTGCTCCGATTGCCAGCTTTAATGAACTCGCTCTCGATAAGCGTCCAGTTGAATTGCCCGAGAGTTGCGATCTCGGCAGACAGGTCGCGAGGTACGAGCGCGCTGCTGGCCACTGAGCAGGCGGCAAGCGCCGTCACGAGCGTACGCATCATGATGACGGTGATGAGGCTTGGGGGCCTCGGTGATGATGAGACGCGGTGGTGATCGTAATGAGTGCAAGGCAATGAGTGCGAGATAACGAGTGCTGGGTAAAGAGTGCGGAATAATGAGTGCGAGGTGGAACGATCCTGTGTGGAACGGTCCTGTGACTGGGGGTCACCTTTGAAGGTGAAGAGATGATGGATGTGACGAGGAAGTATCTTCGCCTTCAAGGAGAACACAGAAGACTATATATATGCATGAAATGCGGCGCCGGGTGTCCCAGCCCTGGCCGAGGCCCTCCTCGCCCTGACAGATGCTGCTATCAAACGCGGCAAGTGAGGACTACAATATACCCCTCTCTATCCCATGGCCCTCTCAAATCGAACGATGGGGCAATGAGAATGCTGATGAGCTGTGCCACAAGGACATAGAAGCAATAATTCCGGTGGCGATCAGTTGACATGTTGTTGCTGTTGTTGTTGGTGTGATTGTTGAGACCGAGTTGCCGTGGCTAGTCCTATAGGTGGCCACGGTGTGGCGGGCGCTACCCCTAAGTCCATCAGAGACGCCGTCTCTCAAAGGGGCAAAAACCTCGTAGCTATAGGCCCAGCCCCGAGCTAGCCAACGCCGGCAAGCCGGAGGTACCATATCTCTGGTAAGCCACTGCCTCGCCATCGGGATCCGATACAACATACATTGCCCAACTTCTACCCAGGAGGCCGGACCAGACTATTCCTCGGTCTAGTTGACCCCATCGCTTCGCTAGGTACGGCTTCAGCTTCGTCGGCCATCCCGATGCAGACCGAGACACAGTCGCGACGCTCGACGCGGACATCATCATGAGACAACATGTTCAAAGTCACTCTAGGAGGCCGGGGATGCATGGGGCGAAACCGGATTCTGCTCGGAACTCCGTATCATAAGCGCTTGCCGGGTCTCGGCGCCGCAGAGATTGGTAGCGGCAGCCACAGGCCGAGGACTTGGTGGCCGAGCAGTGCAAGGTGCTGAGAAAATTGGAGGGGTTGAGAGTTGTCCCATGCTAGAAGACACATCGGACATCCGACGGCATTAACGAGCTTCCAGTTCTGCAGACGAGATACACCCTCTTCACCAATGACAGGAAAGTTGACGTGACGAGTCAGCCTGGTGCTATGCGGACGTGGCAAATCTCCTATTGAATGCGTATGTGCCGGATCTTCGAGGCCCTGGGTTGTTTGTGTGGCGTGTTAGCCTCTCTGAAGACTAGTACCGACATAACTCACTGGGAGCACAGGACGGGACAGCGTTGCGTTCCGTCCATCACCCGGACGTAGTGGCTCCAGAGTTCCTTAATCTTCATGGCATGCAGTCCGACTAGTGACATCTCCATCTCTCGATAAACCAGAGAGAATCTGCAGACCTCCTTCCATACCCCTGGATGCCGGTTCCCTTCTCATAGCATTTCAACTTCATGACTACGGGCATACTCAATTTTTCATGAGCATAGCTGTGGTCCATGGCCGGTTGGGTGTCCATTGGGTTAACAAGGACCCATACATAGACTGAATCTAAATCCACAACCCAGAGGCACTCGAAGTCGACGGAACACGACTTTCTAGCACTGTCGGTGAGCGTGAGCAGGTAATCGTGCGGGCAACTTTGAAGCGATCAGCATTCGATGAAGAGAGACAGATAAGGCTGCAAAATGGGCAACGTTGGGTACCTTAGGTAGGTATTCTATTCGAGGGAGAAGGGAGAAGGGAGAAATCGTCATCCGAGTCCCAGCATGCCCGTGTGCCTTGTGGTAGCGGTATCCAGAATAAGGACCAGGGTCACGAATGGTGGCTGTTGGTCTGTATTCTGGAAGTTGCTTGATTGAAAGAAGGGATGGGTGGTGTCCCCATCCCAGAAGTAGCTATCATCCCAGTTGGGTACGAATCTGGTACAAACGGGTACCAGTTGGGCTCCAAGGTACCTTGTACCCTGGTCCGTGACCCATCCGTCATTGTGGCTGGAAAATGGGTTGAGGAGCCACACCCGGGCGCCGTGGAGTGCTTATGCAGCTAGCCATAGTGGGCGTAGTTAGTTACCTCAAGATATTATTAATTAGTGGGACGAACAGACTATCCAGTCTCATCGTTATAAAGAGAGCCCATGTGGCCCATGCGCTAGGCCCTGCCGGGTACCCGCCTGCCGCCTGCCGCCTGCATCCAGCCCGGTCTTGGCACTCGAGAGGCTGCAATAATTTTTTGAAGCTCCCAAGATTGAAGCTGCCTCTCCACACACGGATAATAAGTCAGCCAACCGACCATTCGATCTCAAGAACCGGGCACCTTTCCACCCTGCGGCACTCGACAGAACTCCTGCTTTTGAACTTTAGACGACGCTTCCCTTCCACTCGTAACATCGGTCCTGGTCGCTATCCAAAATGTCGTTCGGCGGCCAAACACCCACCATCATCGTCCTAAAGGAGGGTCAGTAGCTGCCCCTCGATCCTCGGTGCAGCCTTGCGCTGGACCCGTGCTGACCGGACCAATTCTAGGCACCGATAGCTCCCAAGGAAAGGGACAGATTGTGTCCAACATCAATGCTTGCCAGGCTGTTCAAGCGACCATCAAGTCGACCCTCGGTCCGTATGGTGGTGATCTGTTGATGGTGGATGAGAACGGCAGGCAGACCATCACCAACGATGGCGCCACGGTAATGAAGGTACAGTCGACCAGACGGGCTCGGAATATGAACGGAAGCTAACCGCAGCTACAGTTGCTCGACATTGTACACCCCGCCGCGCGAATCCTCGTCGACATTGCAAGATCACAAGACGCCGAAGTTGGGGATGGAACTACATCAGTGGTTGTGCTAGCGGGAGAGATCTTGAAGGAGGTCAAGGAGCATGTCGAACAAGGCGTGAGCTCTCAGATCATCATTAAGGCATTGCGCAGGGCGTCCACCATGGCTGTCAACAAGATCAAGGAGATGGCTGTCAGAACAGAAGAGTCCAGTCGACGGGAAACCCTCTGCAAGCTGGCCGGGACTGCTATGACGAGCAAGTTGATCAAGAGAAATACCGAATTTTTCACTCAGAGTACGCAAGTCAAACCCATGCAGTGGAGATGTGGCTGACAACTTCTAGTGGTTGTGGATGCCGTCCTGTCGCTGGACCAAGACGACCTCAACGAGAAGCTTATCGGCATCAAGAAGATACCAGGTGGATCTCTTACCGACTGCCTCTTCGTCAACGGTGTGGCTTTCAAGAAGACGTTCTCCTATGCTGGATTTGAGCAGCAACCGAAATCATTCACGAAACCCAAGATCCTCTGTTTGAACGTCGAGCTAGAGTTGAAGGCAGAGAAGGACAACGCGGAAGTGCGGATCGAGCAAGTATCCGAATACCAGGCGATAGTCGATGCCGAGTGGCAAATCATCTTCAAGAAGCTGGAGGCTGCATACAAGACGGGCGCAAAGGTCGTGCTCTCCAAGCTGCCTATTGGTGACCTGGCAACACAATTCTTCGCCGACAGAGATGTCTTCTGCGCTGGCCGCGTCGCATCGGAAGACATGGAGCGAGTGGTCCAGGCGACAGGTGCCACTGTTCAGTCAACATGCTCAGATATCTTGCCACACCATCTCGGCACAGTTGGTAGCTTCGAGGAGCGACAGATTGGTGGCGAGCGCTTCAACTTTTTCGAGGACTGTCCCGAGGCCAAGACCTGCACTCTTGTCCTGAGAGGTGGTGCTGAGCAGTTCATTGCCGAGGTGGAACGCTCCCTTCATGACGCCATTATGATCGTCAAGCGTGCGATCAAGAACCACATGATTGTGGGAGGTGGTGGTGCCTGCGAGATGGAGATATCCGCCTATCTGCACCGCTTTGCAGACAGCAAGATCACGCACAAGCAGCAGGGTGTCATCAAGTCATTTGCGAAAGCCCTCGAGGTCATCCCACGTCAATTGTGCGACAATGCCGGCTTCGACGCGACAGATATCCTGAACAAGCTGCGTGTCGAGCATCGCAAGGGCCACGTCTGGGCAGGTGTCGACTTCACGAACGAGGGCGTTGCCGACATGATGGAAAGATTCGTATGGGAACCGGCCCTGGTCAAGATCAACGCCATCCAAGCCGCGACAGAGGCAAGCTGCCTCATCCTTGGCGTAGACGAGACGATCCGCAACGAGGAGAGCGCGCAGCCGCAGGCGCCTGGTCAGCAGCTCCCCCCTGGAGCAGCGCAGCGGGCGTTGAGAGGACGCGGAAGAGGAATGCCTCGGCGGTAAGTGTGGCAAGAGGAGATGAGCCTGGCCGGGCTAGGGTCAGCTAGCTGGATGATGTATGATACCTAAAAGCATGGGTGCTAGATCCAGGTATGCCATCAATTGAGGACACAAGGCCGTCCAAATGAAGAAGCCGAACTCTGCCTACAGTTGTGAGTTGTGAGTTGCATGTTGAAGTTGAAAATTATTTCAACCGAAGTCGAAAATAGTTCAACTGAACTTGAAGATAGTTCAACATGAATATCGTCTTGATATGACATCCCATCCAAGCAAGCCCCTTCCTTACCTTCCCAATGCAAATCCTTCCATCAATGTTACTCCCCGACCACGCGCCTTGCCCATGCTATGCTATCTCAACCCGAAGAAAAAACGCATAGTTATGTCTGATCACCGAGGCGTATCAAACACAACATCGTAGATACTACTCCTCTTCCCCACCAGCAGCCCATCCCTCTCCTCAACCGCATCCCTCTCAACCGAATCCGTCTTCGACTCCCCACCCCCGCCGCCGCCGCCCAGTTCATCCTGCGTCGCATTGTTGTCGTGGTTTTTACTACTACTACTACTACTACTACCAATAACAGCAGCCGCATCGTTTGAGGGGTGAAGGTGATCTTCCAGGTTCGTGGTGTCGATCTCCATCTCGTCGTCGGAGCAGGAGGGGGGGAGGAGGAGTCCTGCTCGATCAGCATGTCTAGGTCCCGGTCCACGGCGTCTTGGTCGTCGGGATCGTGATCGTGATCGGTGTGGATGGTGGGTTCCGTCGCGGACGACGCGTGCTGGTGCGGTGGCGGCGAGTCGGGGTTGTGCGGGTCTAGGGGGTCGGTGTCGGGGTCGTGGTCGTGGAGGAGGGCTTGGAAGGAGTCGGGGTCGTGGTGATGGTGATGGTTATGGTTATGATGATGCAGAGGCTGGTGGTGGTGGTCTGCTGCTTGCTGGTGCTGGTTGAGGTCGTGACCGTGGGCCCCGACACTGGCATTGTGCGCATGGGCGAACGGCGAGGAACCGCGGCTTGTGATGGAGGCGTGGTGCGGGACGTGCGGGCTGTACACTGCTGCCATTGGATCGTGGCCTGGCAGTGACGGATATGTCGCCGTGTGAGGGTGGTGGTGGTGAGGCGCAGAGATGGTGCTCCGGGGGTGGAAGGTCTCGAATGCATGGGGGTGATGGTGGTGGTGGCTGTTCTGGTAGTGTACTGTTTGTGATATTATTTGCGGATCTATGGGATGATACATTTCGGCCTCGTGTAGCGAGACTAACGTCTCTGCGGCCGAGTCGTGGTGCATGTGATCCTGCAGCATGGGATGGTGAAGGTGCCGATCGTGTAGGCCTGGACTCGACGGTGTCTGGAGTGGTGGGTTGAGCAGAATGGAAATGTCACTTGGGTTCGCATAGGGGTTAGGTGGCCCTCCTAGTGCAGATGGCATCTCGTGGTGATGCGGAGGATGATGGTGTTGATGCATAGGGTGGTGCTGCAAGCCGAGGATCCTGCCTTTGTCTTCGACGTCTCCGGATCTTGGATCTGGCGAGGCCGCAGACATGTTCGGCGGAGCGGGACTGACAGACATGCCTCGGGTCTCATTCACGCTGGCGAAGCGCCGCGAGGCGTTGAAGTTCTGGGTCTGGTTTTGATTCTGGATGGCTGAAGAAGAAGAGGCCATCTTGCCCAACTCCTTGCACTGGTCACAAGTCCTAATTACATCCGACACCGTCTCCTTGATGCGGCTCCAATGGTGCTTCTCGGCGATGACAGCCGTGGTCTTGTTAATGCCGGCGTGGTTCCCCACCTCGTGTATTTGCCGCGCGATGGCCATCTGCCGCGCCGGGTCGCTGATGACCTCCTTGTCCTTGAGCATCAGCACGTCGTTGTCGAGCAGCTTATAGTGCGTCGCCGCGCTGCGGAGCCTGCTTTTCTCGGCGCGGTCAGATCCATCAGGGTATCGCCCGTACTTCAGGTAGAACTTGATCTTGTCGAAACGCTCTTCACTCACGAGAAGGGTGTCGCCGGCGACCTCGGCGCCAGCGCCTAGGTCCCGGCCATATATGATGGCATCGATGAGCCGGTCCGCGTACGACTTTAGGTCGCCGCACCCCTTGACCCGCCCGATCCGCTTGAAGCCCAGGGCGTCCCAGATCTTGCACGATGCCACGTTGGTCTCGTACACGAGGTTGAACACGGAGTATGTGTAGCCCAGCTTCGGTGCCCAGTCCAGGTAGGTCTCGCCCATGAGCCGGCCGACGCCACGGTTGCGCGCGGCATCCGTGACCAGAAATCCGGCATTGCAGACGTGGCTGCTGCGGCCAGGGTAGTTGGGCTTGATGTAGAAGCTGCCGAGGCACTCGCGAGACCAGTCCTTGTCTTCGGCGACCTCGTCGGCGCTGTCGACCTGGCCGATGAGCATGATTCCCGCAAAGTTCTGAAACCAGTAGGCAGAGAACTTCTCGAGTGGCATGGGGTCTATCATCGGGTAGGTATCCCCGCCCTCGATCTCTTTGGCGAACTGGTCAGAGAGGTACGCCAGCAACGAAGCAGGCACCTGATCTCGTGAGATGAATGGCACAATAGTCGCAATGGTCTGACGATCCCGCAAGGTCACCTGGCGCGGGGCGATGCTCGCGGGCAAGCCTGGCTTGTTAGGGTCCGGGTAAGGGGTCGCACCAGACACCCGGTGGATCGTTGGGCTGGACGGGTCATCCATGATGGCCGGCATCGCGGTCTGTGGCAAGCCTCCCGGACTGCGGAAGCCTGTCAGTTATCACTAGATGGATCGATCGTACATCAGCATGTTGCACAGGCGAAAGAGCAGTCGGAGCCATCAGAACTCCGGATCGGGGTTCTTATTCATACCGGTTTTGACTCCGTGGTTGGATTAGGTAGATAGTTGACCGAATTTCAGGTCAGTCTCGTATTAGTTCGGCCAAGGGGGTTCCGTAGCATCGGGCGCGGATGCCTGCTGTTCTGAAATATTCGTATCTTGTGATGAATTGTGCCTCAGGAGTCGTGAGGGGATATTCGCAGGTCATGGATGTTCCCAGCCCGAGGCCGAGAGCCGGAGCCGGTTTGCGGATGAGGCGGGGGTGGTCCGTGAGCATGATGACCAATCAACGTGAGTGAGTATGTACCCGGCTTTTTCATGCGAAACGCCGTTCTCTCCTCAAGCCATCGTCTGTGATCTACTATCACCCACTAATGTTCTGATTTCCATGAAGCTCCATCATGATGGGAAAGTCGTTCTCTTACACTATATTATACTCGCGGATAGTTCGCTATACGGTCAATGTATCAATCAGCGATGTCAAGAGGATGTCAGGATCTCAATCCGTTGGGCTTGAGCGCGTTGGCCTGTTTGCGATGTCTTAGGTTGACCAAGTCAACAATTGGCAACTTGCCACCCTTCAAGACACCTCCGACTAGGTCCACCATGACTATCCAGAAGCGCTGGCTTGGGTGTTGTCAAGAAGCAAGTGCTCGGTACGCCATCGATTAAGTCACGAGCAGAGTGCCATATCACCCTTCGCAAAGAAGCCTCTGCGCGTGGAATCGTGTGAGGTGGCAGGATGTGACTTATGAGTATCTGCGCATACCCTTGACCGTGACCGTAGGCGCAAGAGTCGAGTGCTAAGGGTACTATCGGCTTGCAGGCAACTTCTCTCAGTAGGACAGGAAAACCGCCTCAGTTCCTCCTCACGCTATGTGTTCGGACCGCACGGATCAGCACCAAATGAGAGATAAAGTAGGTATTGATGAGGTATGCGGGCAACACTCGTCCTGTGATGGCAGCGCCAAACGGCTGTCGCGTGAAACCCCACTGAGTCAGGCTCGCTGCAGCGTCTGATACATATCAGACAAAGGAAAGCAAGCTCCGTTTGGTAGCCGTCTATACACCGCCTATCTGTCCTGCTGCTGCCTGAACTGCACAGAGCAACCTATTCTCCGTTGTCTGCTCCTTTTCTCATTCATTCCACTTACTTGTTTCAGGCGCCCTGATGTACAGTGGGCGTGTTGACACACTCGTGGGCCCATACAGCACTACCTTCCACACGTTACAACTTACCCATACCTATTATGACCAACATCTTTTCTGGGGACGATCCCCTCTCTTTCATAACGGGACGCAACATCTTTCGAGTGTTTGCCGACTTGGAGAAGACCCAAGATGATGCCTGGCGTGAATATGTTGCCAAGGTGAAACAGGAGTTCAGCAACTGGGTCCAAGAACTCCACGCTATATACCCACAGGATCATTTCGAACCATTGAGGGAGACAGCGAAGAAGAAGGGGCACGACCGAATGCTTCACGCTCTTCGGTCCGAGCCGTCCGAGACCGAGCTGGACATTGCGAACCTAGCTCTCCATCACCTAAGGGGAGACCAGCAGGCATCGCTTGTCCATCGACCTGACCACACAGTTGATTTAAGGGTGGCCCGTCCGCATACCCATGCACGTTCGAGCACCATCGACCCCGAGACGCGGTCCTTCCGAGCAAGTAGAGAGATTCCCCAGACACCGGAGCCTACCGAGGCCCCTTCTTGACAGTCCAGGCGCTCCTTTGACGACAGCCCTGAGCTGAACCCTCCTACTAAACGCAATAGGCGTTCCACGTCAAGTACAAGCCTTGCCCTGGTGGGTCATGGACATGGAAGCGGTATCTACATCAGCGATAGCGATGAGGACGATGACCTACAATCTTCGCCCGAGAGCGAATCTGGTAGCGTTTTCCCGGATCACGTCACCAAGGAAGAGGTGAAGCTCAACGGGGAGTTCGCCTTGGGATGGCCGTACAAGCAAGGCAAGATCTTCGTGCTGAGATGTCGTATTTGTCCCGAGAAGTATTTAAGCTACAGTCCGTGGCCCGGGAAAACCTCGCACCATCAACACTGGAATAGGAGCCTCTGCCATAAAATTCGGGAGGAAGAGTTCAAACTTGACATTGCTCTGTCTCAGAACCTTGTGCCTGGTACTGTATGGCCTATCAACTTACGAGGGATGCCATTGCTGATAACCTATCGTAGTGCTCGACGCGGACCTGTTTTGGGCTATGGAAAATAATGACCAGATCGTACCGCGGAGTAAGTCAATAGCACATATATCCAGAGGTACCTCAGCTAATCACTATGTCACTGCAGCGAAGCTAGCGGAACATGCCAATCCCAGATGTCCACCCAATCTGGCTGCAACTATCCACGCGATACCTCAGGCTCCACCCACAACAACACGGAAACCTTCACGCTTCTTGGCATCGCTTCGTCCCAGCCCCAGACCTGTCGACAGAGCCGCCAGAGAGTCTATTGTTGCTGCCAGAAGCTCTGCTGCCGGCGAAGAGCCCTTCAGCCTCAAGCCTGTTGTCGTGCAGCTACCGTCGCCGCAAACACCAAACGCCCCGTCCAGTGTACACGTGGCCCCAGTGCGCTTCAGTTCAGATCATGCACCACCCACTAATAACCCTCGCGATCTCGGTGAATCCAAGCACGACTACGCCAACCGCCAGCTCAACTCGTCGAACATATTTGTGGCAAAAAGAACACCTAGAAGCACGTATCAGGCCGAGAGTGCGAGGTAGTCCCCTGATCTGGAGCATAGCGACAGCGAAAGAGATCTGTATGATGATATACTGTAATGTGGAATATGGATCTGTCCAGCTCCATCTGATGATCTCGAAGCTGCACTGAGGTGATTCGGCAGCTTGGTCGGCCCGAAGGTCATGTATGGCCGGGGCCGGGTGGATCATCTGATCAATCCTTCGGCGCCGGGGATGCCTGTAACGTTGTTAAGCTGAAACAACACGAACCTTCCGGCCCGCCCCGAAACGTTTTGATAATAGAAGGATTTCTTTCCCCCTGGCTATTTCCCCGTCTCTACTACCGTAATTTCGCCAATTACAAGTTGCTATACCTCCTACAGGTAGCAAGGATGGTAATGTTAGTGGTTCCAAGGTATGGGTCTGATTCCAATATGATGCCCGTAATTCCCATGCTCATACATTCCCCCTTTTTATTACGAAAAAGTTCCGTGAGAATGTTCCTATCGCGTAAAGTTCCACCTATTACCATCCTGGACACCTGCTGTATTACACGTTCACATGGCTAACATCGTTTGAGCTGACCGGAACCAATCTCGCTTTGTCGCAGAATGACTTCCATGATTTTCTTTCTAGGTACGCGCAGGATGTGGATGTACGCCTGGTCTCTGGAATCACATGTTGGCACAGCGGTAGGATGCTTTTATACATATCATGTTCTTCTCCTCACTCTCGTATCTACTAAAGGTAGCAAGTCCTACACACAATCCGAAGCAAAGTCTTCTCGTCACTCCTTTTGTCCATTCGTTTCAATCGTTCAGAAGAGCTAGTCTCTCACCACACTCGTTTCAATCTCACCCACGATTTACCTCTTCAGAGATACCTACAGCAGCCTCAAGATGCAATACGCACTCATATTCGCTGGAGCGGCGCTTGCGCACTTCGCCGAAGCCCAGGGGTCCAAGCATGGCGGGTGCCATGGTAAGCATCACTCTTCGGTGGTGACGGGGACCGATGAGGTGGCGGCCGTCACCGCGGGCTCCACGCCATCTGCGCATGCCGCTTGGGATCCCCACCACCATCCCGAGTCTTGGTCGGCAACCCCTTCGTCTTCGGAAAAGGCTACGTCGGCCGCTCCCAGCCCAAGCACCTACTCGTCGGTAGTCTCCATCTCCACGACTGCACCGGTCAGCGAGACCTCTCCAAGCCGGGTTACTCCCATTCCTCTCGTCACCTCTACCTCGAGCGCTCCCACTACTCTCGTCACCTCTGCCTCAAGCGCTCCCAACACCCTCGTCAACTCTACCTCGAGGGCTCCCGCCCCCGCTCCCTCGAGCTCCAGCTCCTCCTCTGCCGCTGCACCATCGAGCCACAGCTCTGCCACCTCGACGTCCTCGACCTCCGCCGCAAGCTCCACCGGCATCAGCAAGGCCAACCTCACCCCGAACGGCAAGAAAGCAGGGCTCTCAGGCTTCGTAGGCATCCAGAACAAATCCGGCTTCAGCGACCTCGCCCCACACATGAGCTGGTACTCCGACTACACAGCTAACACCCCCGACGCCCAAGACGTGATGGGCGTCGGCATGCTCTGGGCCGCCGGCGGCTCGGCCTGCGGGAGCAGCGAGACAGAGCGTCTGGACACGTTCAACACTCTCATCAGCAGCGGTGTTACCCCGAGCATAATGTTCGGGTTCTACGAGCCGGACTGCGATTGTCCGGACTCGTCTGAGATGTCTTCTACCAGTGCGGCGATCGCTTGGGATAGCTTGATTGCGCCGCTTGCGGCCAACGGGACTGTGCTCGGCAGCCCGAGCATGTGCAAGCAGAAAGATGAGGACTTCTTGACTCCGTAAGTAAACACTCAGAGCCCCATCTGAAGACTGGTGGCAGTACATACATAACGCGGAGAGACTGACCGGAAGCCAGCTTCAACGCCGCCATCTCCACCACCTGGGACGTGACCTCGATCCACATCAATACGCCCAACGTCAGCGAGGCGCAGAAAGACGTCGAGTACTACGTCGAGAAATATGGCCAGCCGGTCTGGGTCAGCGAGTTCGCCTGCGTCAACGACCACCCGACCTGGGCGCCGTGCACCGAGCAGTCGCAGGTCGATAGCTTCATCAACGACGTCGTGGCCTACTTTGAGGGCAACGACGACGTTGTGGCTTATGGTCCGAGCAACGGCGCCGGGCTGGGGGATGTCTGGCCTTTGACGGACAGCAGCGGGGCTTTGACTTCGTCTGGGCAGACGTACTTGAATGCTATCAAGGGCTTGTGAGTGGATTGTGAGGAGGCTTATGGTGTGGTGCTGGAGAAGCCGGGGCTATACTTCGTTGTACATATCTACAAACTCAATAGGACTTTCCAAGTATACATGTATACAATGCGAGAACATTTTTTATTATCAGTCGCCGGCAATTTTGAACTTCGCTCCAATCTTCCACTTGACCACGCCGACCTCGACACCAGGTGCAAGCTCAACGAGCGTCAATCCACCCTTCGCCCCGTCCACCTCGAAGATGCACTACATCATGGTTAGCTAATCACCTTACATTCTGAAAGATTTACCTTCGTCGTACCAGATCAGTGATGATGGTGCTGACAACACGTGCGCCAGTCAACTGCAGTGTGTAATTCTGCCATCTTGCCATCTGGGATGCCGAAATCCACGCAGATCTGGAGGATGGGTTGACTGCGGTTGTCCAATAGTGCCTCAAATGCCGTCATCTGCAGCCAGTGTCAACTGCAGGAGTGCTCATTTGTCATAACAAACCCCCAGACTTTGCTATCTGATGTCGTGATATGAGCTGACCTCCCGCGAAGGTCAACGAGGACCAGTAGCCCACGATGATTGGACGTACGGTCCCTTCTGTCTCCCCCAAGGTCGTGGCATTTCCGATCCAGTCTGCGGTATCCCTGAAGCGCTTCGAGTATGCAAAGTATGCATCGCTTGGTGCACGGTCTGGGCCCAGGACGTGAAGGGTGCAGGGTGCAAGATGCCTCCACAAGACTTCGATCGGCACGCGCATCCCGACTTCTTGCACTGGGAGGGTCCTTCCTATCTTGCTGAAGGTCGACGGTTGTGCGACACAACTCGTGAGAGGGGTTGGAGTTGACGCCATCCGGACCAGCTGTGTGCGCATATCACGCCATAGCACCGGCCGCAGTCCTAGCCGGGCACCCTATCCAACCCTGCGATAATACTACGTCACGTCATTGGAAGCTGGTATTGAGCTATCATGATGGAGGCAATTGGGGAAAGTGGGAGATATACTTCACGGCGGCCCTGGTTACCTCGGATTGTACAAGTACAAGCTGGAAGGACGTTTTGTCATTGAACGAACGTGCCAAGTTACGAAGCGCCGTCATATAACGAGATACGCAGATAACATCGAGCAGCCATGTCGGTGCCCGCAGTGCAGGCCGATATACTAGTGATCGACAGCAAAACCACCGGCTCGTTGACATCGTCCGACGATAAACTAGGCCAAGGCCACTTCACAAGCGAGCCGACGACATCTGAAGAACACCTGGTCTTGAGGAGAAAGAACCCATTCCTAGACCCGCGGAAAGCCGCCCATTGGAAGCAGGTATACGACGAGGCGGACTACGAATGCCGACATGTCTTCGATCCCGACCTGGAGTGGACTGAAGAGGAAGAACGGAGAATCGTCCGCAGACTGGACTGGCGTGTCTGTCTATGGGCTGTGAGTTTAACCAATGATTCGAGACGGGGTTGCAGCTAACACTAACGATGTGAAAGTGTGTTATGTTCTTTGGCCTGCAAGTGGACCGGAACAATCTGGTCCAGGTAGTCTCGGACACTTTCCTCGATGACCTGGGCTTGTCAACAAACGGTAAGTCCGCCCTTCCTCTACTAATCTGATCAGCCGCTGAAGAGTTTACTAGACTATAACTATGGAAACACGACTTTCCTCGTGGCCTTCCTCGTGGCAGAGCTACCTTCTCAGCTCATATCGAAGAAGGTCGGACCCGACCGCTGGATCCCTGTGCAGATTTGTCTCTGGTCCATCGTCGCAGGACTGCAGTGCTTCATCTCGGGACCCGGGAGCTTCCTAGTTACTCGAGCTCTTCTGGGGCTTCTTGAGGTATTGAGTATCAGCTATTCTATGACGGATCTGTCTGACAAGTGGACTATAGGGCGGCTTCATTCCAGACCTTGTACTGTGGCTGAGTTACTTCTATACCTCGAGAGAACTCCCAATCCGCTTGAGGTGAGTCTAGAGAAGCCCACACTGGCAGCACGTTTGGCAAGTGACGGGGGCGTTCTTAACATGAGGACTTATGCAGCTACTTCTGGACAACCTTGTCAGCGACTGGTGTGGTTGCGTCGCTCCTAGCATTCGCCTTACTACGTTTACGTGGTGTCGCAGGCTGGGAGGGTTGGCGTTGGCTCTTCCTGATTGAGGGCTTGATCACACTTGCTGTAAGTCCGTTGCCGTACTGCTGCCAATAGACGTCTCCATACAGACATTCCGGAAGCATTCTCGCTGAACACACGACCAGGTCGGCGTCGCATCCTTCTTCATGATGCCGGCATCCGCCGTACAGACGAAAACCTGGTTCCGCCCAAACGGCTGGTTCACAGACAGAGAAATGGCAATCGTGGTCAACCGTGTGCTGCGCGACGATCCGTCCAAGGGCGACATGCATAACCGTCAAGCGATCACTCCGAAGCGTCTCTGGAACTCGCTGAAGGACTACGACCTGTGGCCGCTGTATATTCTCGGCCTTATTTGCTACATCCCACAGAGCCCACCGACGAAGTATATCACTCTCACATTGAAGGCCGCGGGTTTCGACAAGTTTACGACGAATCTGCTAACTATACCATTTGTAAGTACACGTATACCTATCTTCGTACTGTCTTCATGGCCTTCTGACTGGCTGATTTCCGTGTCACAGAACGTTTTCCACATTGTGACCCTGGTCTTGATCACTCGCCTGTCGGACGTACTCAACGAGAAAACATTCGTGTCTATGATCCAGAACCTGTGGTGTCTTCCATGTCTCGCGGCCTTGCGGTGGTGGCCAGGCGTCTCGGTCGATGCGTGGGGTACTTATGCAGCCGTGACCGTTCTGCTTAGCTACCCCTATTGCCGTGAGTCCCTCCCTACTAGCCAGCAAGCCAGACTTTGCAGCTTCATAGAATCTTTACTTACCACAGTCAGACGCGATCCTGGTTGCTTGGACATCCAGGAACTCCAATAATGTTGGGACACGCTCGGTCTCTGCGGCTGTCTACAACGTAAGTCCAACTCCAGCAATGGGGCTGCCTGGTAAGATCCAAGAATGACGACTAATCAACACGTACCACGCAGATGGCGGTTCAAACCGGCAACGTCATCGCTAATTTCATATACGAGGACGACGATAAGCCCCTCTACCACAGAGGCAACACCGCCTTGTTTGCGATCAACGTGCTGGCAATTGCGCTATTCTTGCTCACCAAGGCATACTACGTCTGGAGAAACAAGCAGCGCGACAAGATCTGGAACGCCATGACGGAGCAGGAGAGGACTGATTACATCGCCAACACTACTTTGGTGGGCAGTCGGAGGCTGGACTTTCGGTTTGCTCATTGATGACTCGCATGTTCCGTGGGGGAGAAAGCAGGACATCTACGCGGTGAAAAAGATCGAGCAGGCTGGCGGATGGAGTTCGGCATTAATAAGACACGAGTATAGTGAATGATTGTCATGGTCGTACACTTTTAATACTACATGCCGTCTCAGAGGCCGATAAGTGACAGCCGGATCCTAAACCGGAGGAGACGTGTCTGTGAGGGCCAGCAGATCCGGATTCTTGGAGATCTTGAGTTCTTCAGCAACTCAAACATGAAGTCCTTGAACATAAGAACTGAGTAAGCTTTGCCAATGCACGCCCAGGGGCCGTTGGAGAACGTCTCTATGCCGAACGGGGTACCAGCGTCGCGGGTGAGCGACACCCACCTCTCCAGCCTGAAGTTCTCTGCAATTCGCCCTGGTCATGGGCAGCGAAGAGTAAAATGTCATCACGCTACGCCTGTGCAAAGATTGTACCGGTAAATAAGATGTCTCAGAAACTCATCATACATACATTGTTCGTGGTCCAGAGCCAATAAACAATTGCCGCGGTCTAGATCCAAACTAGCCATGGCGAGAATACGCCAGATACGCCAGAGTATAGGCGAAGTAAGAGGCGAAGAAAGGCATGACCGACAAAGGGACAATTCCATGGTTCCACTCCCAACAATGAGTCTTTCTTACCCTTTCGTGGAAATTCCCCTCCGATACTTCCTATATAGGGGCCTACCATGTCGCACTCCAGGCAGAACAAAACAGTGAGCACCGCCCATCTATCACATTCATTACATCCACTGCCCAAACGCAGTCACTCATCAAAACCCAAACAATCCAATCCACATCCCCGTCACCATGCACTTCTCCTGCAGAACCTACGAGTACTGCAGAACGTACAAGTGCAGCCTCAGCAACGGTAAGCAGCTCATTGCCTCTCGCGAGGCGAACGACGGGCTAGCCTCGGACTTCGTCGGCGACATCGAGGATGCCGAGTACGATGCCCAAGAGATGCTGGACTTGACAATTATTGAGATGCTTGCGTGGTACTATAGAGTCTACCAACTACGCACTGAGCTGATCGGTGACGAGGAGAAGCCAGTATCCCCGCCCAGTCCTCCTGAATGGTCGCTCACGCTCGAGGACTTCCCTGCGCATGCGTAGGAGGGTTTCCTTGGGGAGGGGGGAGGGGGGTGTGGGGGTATTGTGGTACGTACGAGACTTCAGATCGTGATTAATGTCGAAGAAAGGGCCCGGGAAATAGGATTGAGTAACATAAAATCAGACGATTTGCAATCGGAATACTGAAACATACCGAGATTTTTCGTCGCATGTCTCCAGTGAACTCTTGACTTTTTCATCAGATTGAAAACAATAAGGGCGCGCGAGTAGCGATACTTGCGCGCAGTCGCAGGGGCGATGGTATGACCAGTGCAGAGACGCAGCTGAGATCTTATCTTGGTGTTGTTAGGTTCAAGTTCTTATAATACAGGCATGTGCTACTCTGTTTGTCACGTTCCGAAGATGAGAGAGGACGTAAAAGTCCTGTATACACCATCTACGTATGAAAATCTCTTGGTGAGGAGGGAAGAAGAGATCGAGCCCACCAGCCAATTCTGGTGGGGGATATGATCTGTGTGCCCGCCCCACTATCCGCTGCCCTAGTGACTGACGGATCAACAGTCGCTCCGCTCACGTGACCAAGGCACGTGGGTGGCCTGGAGATCTGGTGGTGTGGGTGACCATACGGGTGACCATACCATCTGTTGGATTAAAGGTACGCCTAGAAGGCACCCTGACAGGTAGACAACGGAACCTAGTTGTTCCGTACTGATCCAGCCCCCTTTGGCACAAAACTGCCACGGTCGCACAAGGACACTCTAGACCAAGAGAATACGCACACACACTTCACTCTGAGGATTGGCTCAAATCAGACACCATCACACTGTTCACCATTTTCTTCTTAATCTAATCGCTAGGACTTATAAACAAACTTTACATGGCTACATGTTAGACATAGTTAATAAGGAGCAAGAAATTAATAAGGTTTTATATTCGCTGGATTTAAAGCTAATATGAAGATAATTATATAAATTAGTATTATAAGCTACTTTTACAGATAATTTATCTTATACGGCTACTACGTGTTAAGGCTTAAAATCGAGGCTTTGCTACAACCTTACGTAAGTTATAAAGCGTCGTATTTAAGAAATAAAAATGAACATTTTTATAAACTACAGGTAAACGCTTATCCAATTAAAAACCATGTGAATGTATAAATTAAAATGTTAAATAATCTATTTTATATAAAAACACTTAATGAAAACATTACGTAAAGTAGTTAAGAAGTATAATAAAGAAAATCTAACTATAAAAAAATAAACCCGCACTATAAAAAACAATTGTATAACTTTTAATAACAAAAGAACTATATTAAATAAATCCTTTCGATTCATAAAACGATTAGATAATAATGAAAGAAGTAAAAATGTAAGTAAATAAGATGATATTATTAAATAATAGCTAGTAATAACTAATCAATTAATTATATTTACGCTATTTTTCTTAAACGACTTAAAGCTCGAATTTTATAAGTTTTGTTGTTTATTATTTCGCTAATTAGTATAATAGTAATTTTATCGATAATTAATACTTACTAGTTATTAATCGTTATAAAGGCTTGATTTTTAACGATAGCAAGATTAAGTATAGTTCAACCACTTTTTATTATATGTTTTAGCTACTAGTAAATTAATATAATATATTAGTATCTTAAACAAAGAGACGGCGAGTGTGCTGTCTATTCCGGCATACTGTTAGATTCAACGAGTTCAGTGAATAGAGGGTGATTATTGGTGTATTGCATCGTAAAGTTTCTTATCTGTTTGGTCTGTTTAGGAGCCCATTATCGGTTTCCAGTTTGGTGTTGGCCATATCCGCCGTACCGGGGGTTTTCCGGTCGGACTCGGCTCATCTTCATGACCCCTGTTATCCAACACATGTTCTGCTTTCAACTCGAGCAGTGCGCTAGCTTGTAATACGCTGCCGCTTTAAGCTGCACAACCTAGTAAGCCCTACCACACCCGAGGGCTTTGTACTTCAGCGTATCGTTTAAAGTACTTAATTCCTTAGTTACAACTTAAATCTTAGACGTTTTTTTATTCGGTATTTAGTATTAATAGTTTGTTTAGTATTTTTTCGTTTGCTTACACAGCCTGTTATTAGTGCAATTAAAAATATCTTATGTAATCTTTTTAAAATACCTACCTTTCTACTCTTATTAAGTAACGATATTTTAGGTGTTCTCTTCTTTATTACTTTTAGTTATATGAGGGCAACGTATTTTAATTAACAGTACTAATTATAACCAAGTATTCTTTATAGCGTTATTAATATAGCTGGTTAATACGTTTACGATAACCAGTACGACTTATAGGTTACTAATAACTAATATGATATGAACGCGTTTTTTTCCGCAGTAAAAGATGTAGATATTAACGACCTTTTTAATATAAACGAGGAAGTATTTATCTTGAAAAGCAGCGCAACAAACGCAAAAAACTTTTATAATAATGATTTTAGCGTTGTAAATTAAGTCTACCTCTTTATAAGATATGTTTATTCATTAAAATATTATTAAAAAGCGTTACAAAAGTTTAACAAAACTGCTTTCAATAGTAAAAGTTATAGCCTTGAAAGTATCATAAAACCTAACGCAATTAGAAAGCAGTAATAAATGTAAGTTATTTAGTTAAAAAAAAAATTTTTACTGACAATTTTTTATAGGTTTTATACCGACAGAGTTGTAAAAGATTTTTAAACTTGCTTTAAAACTTATAATATCGGTTTTTTTGCAATCTTTTGGACTAATTTCTGAACCAAATAATGGATAAAAATAAGAAAATAAAAGACTTAAAAAGAGCAATTTGTTGAGCATAAATTTGAAGGTTCTTCGTTATATAAATAAAAAGGTTATAAATATAAAGCTTAATTTAGAGTTAAATCGCAAAATATATAAGGTAACTAGGTATTTTATAATTTACTAAAGAAGTAGTTTTAAAAAAAAAATTTTGATTGAAGATTACTGGTAGAAAAACAGTAATTAAATAATTAAAAGAAACAGAACCGCTATATAACTATTGACGATTTTAAAGAGCAAATTAAAACAATACTAAGCACAACGAAAAAAACATTTAACCTTAAAGAGCTTTTAATTTTTACCGTTCTATTTCTTTTTTCAACACCTTTTAGTTCGCCTTTAAAATTATTTCATAGCTTTAATTTGAAGAAAGTTAAGTTATATTAAAAAGAAATCTTAACGGCGACCTTGTTATGAATCAACGAACAGTGCGGCCTGATAGCAGACCTAGAAGGGACGATTGGAAACAGGTTGACCAGAGAGTGGGGTGCTGATCAGTGGAGAGATTGGAGCAACGGAGCAACGGTACACAGATCACGCGACCAGCCGAGCCTAGGTCACGTGACTAAGAATTTGGATCACCTTGGGTCACCGGTGATCCAGGGTGAGCCACCTAATCAGTGAGGGAGAGATTGGATATATAAGGACAGACATTTCCCAACTAGATAGATAGACAGTCTCTATCTTAGTGATCAATCTAAGCATCTTAGCCAACTCTAAGGTGGGAGAAATCTCCCGACGACTCGACTACACAGTAAACCCAGTTCAGACCAAGCCCCAGCATCTGAGTGTCTTCTAGTTGACAGAAGCCTCTATCGTCTTTTGTGTTGACTTACCTCAGACTATAAACCCTATAGAACCCTTTAGCCTTATAAGTTAGGCGGCTCGTCACATGATGGTGCGTCTTGCCAGACTCGTGAGGCTTGAGGATCTCGGTTCCCTTACCAACGACTTGGATGCGGAGCTTATCAATTCTAACGCCGACCAGCATTCCCAATTTGCTCAAGCTTGATGGTCACCTTGGACACAGCAGTATATATAGGTGCTCAACCAGATATCAACCGGGAGGGTGAGCCTTCTTTTGTTCGTAGGAGAAGGACCAGGACAGCACAGCGCGCAGCAAGTTGATGAAATGTATACAGGTCCTTCCAATTGTCGATCACTCCAACGTCTGCTCTTCTTGGGGTTTATCCCCATGTCTCAGACACCGAGTCGATTGAACACTCGTTAAATAATCGAAAGCCTTGCAAGGCTATCGATGAGGTTCTGCTCGATAATGACATCTCCTCCCTCTTGGTTCTTGCACAAAGTAAAGAAGTTACATTCCCCCAGCCTACAAACGAAATGCAACCTCCCAGGGACTCGCTTGGCGCTTCCAGTCACTTGTCGCTTGCTTGTAGATCCACAATGGCATTGTGGATTCGTAGAGTCGTTGCCACGGGTGTCGGCGAATACGAGAAACTTGTTGCATGGTCTACATTTGAAATATGGGCGTCCCGCATTGCCATTGCGATTCGATGTTCGAGTAACGAACTTGGAGCTAGGCAAGTTGCAGGAATAGCATGGCGGCGGTGAAGTGGGACCTGTAGCCAGGACCGTAGATCGTAGAGTCGACAAGTCGAAAGAGATCGCCTGTATATATTAGGAAAACAAAGACCAAAACGAAGATCACGTATAACTCACTGCCATCATTGCACCACAGAGATATCTCCAGGTCCTCTCGAGTTCCGTGAAAACAAGGTAATGCTTGCGAGGTGAAGCTGTGCGCATATAGGAATGCGAAAGATGGATATCACCAGGTCGGACCAGGTGTGATATAATTGGGGCGGACAGTTGAAAGCAAACAATATGAGTTTCGGTCAGGACCAAGGATTTGGGCCACTGTCGTCGAAGACTTTAGAATTTCTATCCTAGCCGGAGATCGTTGGTACTTGGTAAACCTCTAGCGACCTTCTACATTCGTCCTTCAAATACACGTTCAATACCGGTTCAACAAAGTCCCTGCTGCGTCCTTCCTCACCGCCTTTTTGTATGCCGCCACCATGATATCAATGTAGGCCCGGTTCATCTGGTTGGGCATCCAGCGTCGCAAGGAAATTGCATGCTTCCGGGTGCATATTTCTGCCTGCTTACGACTGCAACCTTGCGATGCAGCCCCCGACCAGCGACGATTAGAAGCCGGTCAGGCAACAGCGCTGAAAGGACGTCATCGAGTGGTGTTTCAATTGGGTGAACAGTCACGCAC